CGAGTTTTGGTGGGTTTGCCATCATTGTCCTTCTTTGATACTGCAATGAGAGGGCTGTTGAATAAGCCGTTAGGTCTACACTGTTCTACAATTCCTGCATCCAGCCATTCATTCAATTGCTTTTCGATTTCGGGCATTGCATGATGTGCGATCGGATATTGCTTGACGTAGTAATCAACATTCTCCTTGATTGGTATAGTGATCTCAGATTCAGGCACGTTACAAAACGTTCCAGGCTTGATTCTCTGATTCTCATCAATAGCATCTTGGATGTTGCTCATATACTTATTCTCCTCAGCTTGGGATTCAAAGATTGATGCGGTTTCTGGATCAATAGAATGTTTAGTATCAAAATTGACATTTTCGAAATCGATGCTTTCAAGAAGCTCTGATTTCTCTTCCTCTGTAAGATGTCCAATATCAGCAAACTTGTGAGCAACGCCAGTTAGCCCAATTCTAAGTCGACTTAATGTGTCTACACCCAGTAGCACATCAAAATCGCCTAGGTCCTGAATAAAATTGGATAGCTCAAACGAGTGATCAAATGCAATGTCATTAAGATATCTTATCTTGATAGCTGGTGTTTTACCCAATCTCTTTACTGAATGACTCAGAAAGTTCAAATTGCCTTCGACAGAAATAATATCTTGGGAAGTGAATAGTAGTTTATTGTGAAAAATGTTTTTATTTAAGAAGGTGGAATCTGATCCCGTATCTACTTTCGCGATCAAACGGACTGGTTTTCCTTCTTTGCTCTCTAAAATAATAGGAGTCAGTAACTGAAATGGATTGAAACTTTCAGGTACATTTTTCACATTAGACTTACAGTTGAGCGAGGCATCCTCTGCTTCAATCTCGTCCAAGCAAGCATCTATTTCCTCCATGGTGACATCTCCAACAGCATCACCAATGTCAGAATCAGTGCTACTTTCCATGGTAACATCGTTGGTCTCAGAACCAGAACCAGACTTGTTGTCCTTGCGAACAGTGGTTGTTTGTACAGTATGCACACCAATGTTCTTCCTTGATTCTCTCTCCTTCTTCCAGTCGTAGAACTCTTGACAACGATGACCGTAAGCACGGGGCTTACCACAAAAGTTGCAGGTTTTGGGATCAGAGGATGAGGAATTCATAGAATACGGAGCAGCAGTAGTAGCCCGGTTAGGCTTGTTGTCAGAGCCAAAGTGCTTCAATCTTGACTTACAGTCAATGGTGTTGTGGTTGGCATTGCTCCCGCCATGCTTCGCACAGAAATACCCAGTGGCAGATACCCTTGCCATCTTTGTTCTCGAACCAGAACCACCAGAACCACCCTTACACTTACCTCTGATGTCGACCTCAACATCATCATCACCACGATTTTGCTCGTCAACAAGGAACAAAGGCAACACACACTCATAGATCTCGTTGATAGTCCATTTGTGGTTGGAACCATGTTTGACGGACATTTGGTTGACCATCATTTGCTGATTCTTGCGTAACAGCGTGAACTGATAGAACTTGGCTAACATGTTGCTGTTAGGAGGGAAGCCACAATCCTTGACGTACTTCATGAACTTATTCGTATAGTCCTGTAGAGTATCTTTGTTCTTCATGCGCATGCTGAAGAGTTTGGCCATGGATTCCTCAGAGTTGATGGGAGCACCAAAATGTTTGCGGAACAATGCCTTGGCTTGATCCCAATCATTGCATGCCAGAAGATCATTCTTGGTCCATGATTCGAAGTCAAATGGCAGTGAAACAGGCACGTAGCGTTTCCAAACCAAATTTACTTCATTACCGGATGCTCTGATGACGTTCTCAAAAGCACTGAAGAAATGATCGACTGTGGTGAATCTTGGATGGTCAGGCCAATGCTTAGCTTGTCCTACCACCTGGAAACGGGGGATCTCATTGAGATTGACAGGTCTTGCTTTGGAATCAGCCCTCTTAGTAATGGCACTGACTTGCTTGCTGAGCCATTCGACAGACGCAGATGCTTCATCAGCCGCCAAGCGTTCATCCTCAGTGTAAGTATCACCAGCGTTACGATGGATCTGATCCAAGCGAGCCTGAGCAGTGTCAATCTTCTTGAGAAGATGATCAACTGCAGAAAGTTGAGCGTGCTCATCCACTTGCATAGATGAGTCATAAGGAGAAGAAACACGGATAGAGTCTTGAGCAATATCCTTTTGAGTGTTTTCGGTAGCGTTGTATTGGTTGTGAGACATGATAAAAATAGTTTTTAAAGTAGAATAATAAAATGTAGAGTATAAGATAAAGTGTAAAAGTGATAACCTTTGAGTTGAAAAAAATGTGGAATTTGAGGCTTTACAGACTAAAATTCACGGAAAAAAAAGAATAAAAAAACAGTAATGTCAACTTGATAAAGGTATATTTTATTATCAAACTGACAGGTGTAAAGTAAACTGAAGTCTCTCTACTGGCCAGGTAGATGATCCTTCTTATATACTATAACAATGGATAAAAGTTCTATTAATTAGATTGACAAATAAGTCAACTCAGATCAACTAATGTCTAATCATGCTAAAAGACAACTCCAGCAAGCTAATCATGATTTAGCTCTGTCTGGATGAATAATTAGACTCTCATCCGAAGTACCCTGATCTATCCTTTCTATAAGGATAATTAATATCGATCTAGTAGCATGTATCCGATAGGTACAGTCTTCTTAGTCTATATTAATAGTACATATCTGAGTGTATATCGCTAAGCATACATCTTTAGCATGTATCTGGATATATGGCATGTCTATAGCATATCGTATGCATGTCTATAGCATGTCTCATATATAGTACAAGTCTGTAGTACATAAAGTATCTGTAGCTAGTATCACGGATATAAGCATGTGTATTATAGCGTGGATCATGAAGTGCACATCTGAAGCAACAAGCTCATATTGCATTAATCTTGGTGCCTATCCAGATATGGTAAACATCCGTAGTCAATGTCGGAATACAAGTATAAGTCTATAGTGCCATCCATGTCCGTGGTGCCATCTATAGCCTATATCTTATATAGTATGAATCTTATAGTACTAGCGTATCTGAAGTCCATATCTTCTCATGATCATAGTATAAATCGATATCGTACATCTAATCCAGTGTACATACAGTTTATATCTAAATCTGGTAACTGGATGAACTGTCGGAATGCAGATCATAGTGGATGTATTCCACACTAATGTCTAATCATGCTAAAAGACAACTCCAGCAAGCTAATCATGATTTAGCTCTGTCTGGATGAATAATTAGACTCTCATCCGAAGTACCCTGATCTATCCTTTCCATAAGGATAATTAATATCGATCTAGTAGCATGTATCCGATAGGTACAGTCTTCTTAGTCTATATTAATAGTACATATCTGAGTGTATATCGCTAAGCATACATCTTTAGCATGTATCTGGATATATGGCATGTCTATAGCATATCGTATGCATGTCTATAGCATGTCTCATATATAGTACAAGTCTGTAGTACATAAAGTATCTGTAGCTAGTATCACGGATATAAGCATGTGTATTATAGCGTGGATCATGAAGTGCACATCTGAAGCAACAAGCTCATATTGCATTAATCTTGGTGCCTATCCAGATATGGTAAACATCCGTAGTCAATGTCGGAATACAAGTATAAGTCTATAGTGCCATCCATGTCCGTGGTGCCATCTATAGCCTATATCTTATATAGTATGAATCTTATAGTACTAGCGTATCTGAAGTCCATATCTTCTTATAGTATAAATCGATATCGTACATCTAATCCAGTGTACATACAGCTTATATCTAAATCTGGTAACTGGATGAACTGTCGGAATGCAGATCATAGTGGATGTATTCCACACTTGAGATAGGATTCAGAGTATATTCGAATATAAGAAGCATCTAAGAGTTTAATGTTAATTTGTAGAAACAGAAGTAGAGTCCAATATAGTAAGCAGCGAAACGTAGTTTATACGATAGTGTAGGCAATTTACAACAAAAAAAGAGAGATTCAGTTACAAAACCAAAATCGATTTGTAGCATCAATAAACGATGCCTTTTAACTTATAACTAATTCATTATATATCTTATATTATTATCACGACATCTACTTGCAAAATCAATACAAACAATATTGTCGAGTATATGGAGTGCAACTTTTTTTCGATTTTGAAAAAAAAAGTGGAGAAGCTGGGCGTCGATCCCAGTGCCTCTCGCATGCTAAGCGAGCGCTCTACCATTTGAGCTACATCCCCGAAACACATGATTTTGAGACCAAAAAAACAGTTTTATAGTGTGAGCAAATTTTTATACCCTACGTGCACACCTTTTCCTTTTTAGGCATTTTGCTTTCCAAAAATGGTTTATCGATTATGTAAAATTTTTGATTTGAGCTTTTGAGAGCGATCATGTTTTTAATTGCAAAAAGGTGTTCAGTTTGATGTTATACCTTTTTTTTTTGGGGTAGGAAGATTCCATGGTTATTGAAAAGAAAAATATTTCTCGAAATATTTCTGATTGTAACTGTTCTACTACAAAATCGCAACGATCAACAGGCTATCTCAACATTTATGAAAGGAATAAGGGAAATCATCAACAAAATCAATGGCATGTACAGCAATACTTATAGAATTCTAAAACAAAGCCCACAATGAAAGTCTATTAAAAAAAAGCTGTAGTTTAAGGTGCATATTCAGTAATGCAATTATAATAGTAACCCATTTAGATCACAAAGACATTAATGCATAATAATGCAATCAGATCGTAATGCTCCTTGAAAAGGGCACGACTTTTCGATTTTCGCGTTTTCATTACAGAGGCATTATGTATATAAGGGAAGTTATAACCCGTTTTTTATCATAAAGTATACGTTAGTATCGCCATTGTACTTTTAACAGATCAAGATTAGCCAATGTATTAAATCACCGGGTGGAAAATGTGAGAGCTATTTTTTGCATGCTGATTTTCATTTCTCGTCTCTTTCCACTGTTCTTCTTTTTTTTTTATATATACATAGAATGCTCAAGCCCAAGGTTATATCTCAAGTATTACGACAATCTCTTCATAATGGAATTAAAGCTGCTCTGTAAAGTATTCAAGAATGTTATTTGTATCTAATCATACTAAGCGACTGCAACAGAATCATGACAAGCGAGGGCTCCTTAGTATCTTTTGCAGCAGACAATGACAAGGATGCCTCCATCTATTCTGCAATCTCGGCAAATATTTGGAATACATACAAGAAAAAGAACAGTGATATATATACCAACTTGCAGTTCCAAATTCTACATTGTGATGTAAGAGTAATCAGACACACAACACGGTAGAAGATGATGATGACACTAAGAATCTGCATTGTAGGATGGCATTGTGTTTATAACAAGCATTGGCGCCATGTTGCTCTGTTTAGTGGGAGAATCTAATGTTGATTTAGGGATTCTCAAGGTCAAGGCAGAAGCGCTCAAGGGACATCTTGAAGAACCCTTACAGCAGGTAGCACCATACCAAGAATACCAAATGTAGATTGCACACAAAACGGATGTTTAATAGCTATTACAGCAATAAACCAATCATGAATGAACAGACTTTTTTTTTCATGTTTAAAACCATCTTTTGGAAAAGTTTCTTCTAGTTTCTCTTCTTTTATCTCTTTCCGCACATAAAGTAAATATATAATGGCTAGATTCTCTTCTCTTTTGGCACTCGGTTTGGCATTCATTGCTGGTATTGGTAAGCTATAACGAATCTATCCAACGCGTAGATATATCTAATCACGTAGTGTACACTAGTTTCTGCTCAATCTGGCGAAACTGTCGCCACCAACATTGAGGTTACTGCCCAATTTCCTGATAATCCATTTGGTTGTAAGTATTTTGGTTTTGAACTGACCCATCAAGGAGGGCAACTAATGTTATACGGCTAGTGATTGTCAATGGTCAACGTAACAAGGTTATTTTGGATATTGTCAACAAGGAGAAGACTCCCTATACTGTCTTTGCTGTCACTGGCCAAGTTTCCAATGCTGATGATTATACTAAGGTTGTTCGTAACGTAAGTAGACCTAGAGTTTTATAACTGCGGTGATAGAGCAAGACGGAGGGATCTAATGCACATACGTTTTCATCAGTTGACTGCCACTCGTTATGGTAAGGCTCTTGAAGCTGGCAAGAATCTTCAAATCCCTTACAACTTCTACTCTGAATTTGCTCCTGGAGAACATGGTTTAACCGTCTTTGTTGATTTATTGGTTGATGTAAGTATATGGAACGCACAGATCACTTGCTGGATACTTGACATTGATAATTGCCATAGAAAACTGTCACCCGTGTTGTTGGTTACAATGGTACTATCACTGTTACTGAGCCTGAGGGTTCCTGGTTTGATGCCCAACTGTAAGTAGTAATAAGCAAGCGAGTAATCCAGATGGCTGACAGGGATATGTAGTCTTGTTCTTTATGCTGTTCTTATTGCTGGTGCCGCTGGTGTTGCTTATATTGTTCGTGAAGCTTTCTTTGCTGATACCAAGAAGTCCAAGAAGGTAGTGTAGTCAGGATGAGAGAACAGAAATAGTATGGACGACTTATAATGCCACGTTTAGACAAAGAAGGTTGAAGAGCCCACTAAACGTCCCGCTCATCGTGATGAGAAGGGTGAAATGGTTTTGGATCAATCTTGGATTCCTGAGCAACATCTCAATTTGAACAGCCCCAAGAAAACCTCGCCCAAGATGAAGAAGAGATCTTCTCGCAAGTAAATACTCTCCCCCTATCTCCCACCTATATATAAATAATACAACCACCTCTTTCTTTTTTTGAATCACAAAATAAAAAGTTTATCTATACTTCTTCAATCTTACGGTAATACAAGACATAAATTACATTTAGGAATTTAGCACCAATCAAGTCAACTTACATGAACCAGAATACACAAGTGTTGCACTGAACAACCGCCTTCACAATGATCATCGTGCAATAGAGCAAGTACCTCTAATGTTGAATAAACCGGATCTGCTCCTGTTCCCGACTTAATTTTTTCAGGATATTCATCCAATGAAAAAGGGGTTCCTGGTTGAATAATGTCAGTGATCATGCTATATCTCGAAAAAATGCCAATCTTGATAGACCCATGTTCCTGCATTATTTGATTGAGGGATTCTTATTTTCCATTCAAATGATTTACTTTTAATTCAATAATGAAGTCCAAAAATAGCGATCTTTTCATAATGAAACACTATATCATCGCGCTTTCAAAGAGATGAATGGAAAACAAGAAAGATTTACATTTCGAAGGAAAGTGGGATCCACAATTTAGAAAACTACAAATGCATGACGGAATACATGTATAAGTAGCAGATATTCGACACTTTCTACTCTCATTATTTAAATCAATTCTTTTAGTCTTGTAACATTAATTTTAACTTTCCAACACATTTCTTCTCTTAAGTTCATATTATTTCTGCAATGGATTCTACTGAACTCAAAATGCCAGGTTACATGGTGTACTGTGTCATCATCTCCTGTCTTGGCTCCTTCAGTAACGGCTGGGTCATTGGCTCTGCTAATGTGCCTGGTGAAGTGACTCATGCCTGTGAAAATGGTGCTGCTCATGTGGCTAGCAAAGCTTTCCCTGATTGTCTTCCCATGAACAATGCTCTCTGGGGTTTCGCTGTTGCCTCCTTCTGTGTGGGTGGTTTAATTGGTGGTCTCTTTGGTGGTGCTATTCAAACTAAATTTGGTCGCAAGAAGACCATCATCTTTAACAACATTGGTTGGATCATTGGTGCCCTGTTGATCGGTGTTGCTGTCAATCCTGCCATGTTCATTATCGGCCGTATCTTCTGTGGTCTTTCTTGTGGTCTTGGTTCTCTCTCTACGCCTACCTACGTTGGTGAAGTCTCTACTATCAAGGCTCGTGGTACCATGGGCACCTGTAACCAGTTTGCTATTGTCATTGGTATCTTGCTTGCTTCTGTTATCGGCCTTCCCCTTGCGAGCGTGCCTCTCTGGAGAATTAACTATGCCATTGTTGCTATTCCTGCCATTGCTCAGTTTTTCTTGATGGCTAGCTGTGTCGAATCTCCTCGTTATCTTGTCTCTATCAACCGCATTGAAGAAGCCAGAGTAAACCTCCAAAGACTTCGTCCCAACTCCAACATTGATAAAGAATTCTACGGCATGGTTGAGGGTCAATTGGGTTCTGCAGCTGCAGAAGCCATTGTGGGCGATCATGTTTCTATGGATGACAAAAAGTCTTTTGATGATCAACTTGAAGATGGCGTTGTTACCCAAGATGAAGGTGCCCGCTCTCCCATGAATATGATACAAATCTTTACTGATCCTCTTATCCACCGTATTGCTCTCACTGTCATTGCTCTCCACGTTACTCAACAGTTGATTGGTATGAATGCTGTCATGTACTATTCCACCACCATCTTCAACATGGCTTTTGATGCTGAAATGTCCAAGTACATGGCTATTGTCACCACTGTTGTCAATTTTGCTTCCACTATCTTGTCTTTGATCTTGATTGATCGCATGGGTCGTCGTCCTTTGCTCATGATTGCTGAAGTTGGTGCCTGCATCTTTTCTGTTCTCTTGATCATTGGCTACGTCTACAATGTGGGTGCTCTCTTGATTGTCTCTGTCTTTGGCTATGTTATTGCCTTTGCCATTGGTGTTGGACCCATTCCTTGGATGATGACCTCTGAATTGACTCCTGTCTATGCTTCATCTGCTGTTGGTGCCATTGCTACTGCTGTCAACTGGGCCATGAACTTCTTGATTGGTCAGTGTTTCCCTCTCATCTTTGATGGTATCAAGGGCTATTCTTTTGCCATCTTTGCTGGTGTTGCTGCCCTTGCTCTGGTCTTTACTTATTTCAAGATTCCTGAGACCAAGGGTCGCTCTCTCGAAGACATTGTTCGCGGCTTTGAAAAGTCCTCCTAAGCTTCACCATATCTAAATGATTCATATACCCCTCAACACTGTATGCAATAAACACCAAACATTTTATTTTAAAAGTAGTTTTGAATATTTGTCAAAAAGTCAAGATCCCATTCCTCCTCGCCATCACTGGCCCAGGGATTTGACTCTTCAACAACCTGGTCATTTTCAGCTTGATTGTCATTTCCAGTAGTATTAGGGTTTTCATCGGGTATCGTTGTAGTAGTGGTTACATTATGTACAATGGCTGTTTCTGGGATGCTAAAAAATCTCTGTGACGAGGGCATGAATGTGGGTGTTTCATCACTGATTCTGGGAGTATGTTGATTATGTACATTGGAGGTATTATGGTTGCTTTCATATGTATGTTGAGAATGAACGTCTAGTTGAGTACCGTGTTTCGTTGCTTTCGTACAGTGCTCAGACAAATAGTCATTAATGTACTGATCTGGATCAGATGCCTCTTCTGCTGTGCGTTTTCTTGATACACTGTTGTCCACACCATTGCCTTCTAGGCCGTCTTGCTTTTGTTGCTCTTTGATTTTTTTGAGCTCATTCTCGAAAGCCATAATCTCTAACTCATCTCCTTGCAACAAATCGTCATACTGCTGTTGTGATGAGGATATTGGCTGAACATTATTCTCTTTTTTAAAGGCAACTTGCACTTCATCATTTTCCGGATCAAATAAACCCTTTTCCTATGTTAACAATAATGAGATGTCTTGTGATAGCGATAAAAAGTTCCAGTTACCTTGATGCAGAATTGCACTGATTCTATATTATGTATTTCCTCTACCGATTTGTACAAGTATCCATATCTAAATTCTCGTTTTCGATACAAAAACAGTCGATTTGCGCACCAATTTCCCCACTCGTTTCCCAATGACGGTGTCCATTGATCATTGACACCACCAGTTGTAACATGATTTGTAACCACAATCTATCAAAGCAAGTCAGTCACTGATGGAGGCATATTCGAAATGAAGCTTACTTACAGATACAGTTAGATTCTGTGCAATCTTAATCAAATGAGGGCCGGCAAAATTCAGAAAGTCGATTCGAGCTCGAAACGGAAGTGCATTGACACGAAGGTGATATGCTATGGAGTCAATGATGACCAACTTGACTTTGGTGCGATTTGTCAGGATTTCCATCAGTTGCATAATAATGGCCACAAATTCGGTATGGCTCAGCACTCGGAACACATGGATCTTCTTGAGAGGGTCCTCTAAACCAAATCGCTCTGCCATCTTTTGAACTCTCAGCGCATTGAATGATCCCTCTGTATCAATGTAGACACATTCTCCTTCTGAGCCACCTTGATTTTTGGGTAACTGAATCGTCACAGCCATTTGCAAACTACATCAAATGCATTACTAAGCTGATCCCATCCATTGCCACACACACACACACACTGTTGGTTTACCATAGCTGCGTCTTTCCAGTTCCAGACTCGCCGCATATCTCCGTGATTTTCTTTGGAGATATACCATACACAAACAGCCGATCAAAATTCTTCACAGCTGTTGTAAAACTGCTCTCAATTTCCATCGTCAAAGATTCATCAATCTTTATTGTCTTTGTCTTGTCTATTATTAAATGAGTCATTGCAATGCTGGGAATCGAAGAGCCAAACTACCTTTTGCGCCGAGCTTTCCAACTGCTTTAATCTCTTCCTTGTTCAGCTCTAATTCTGTGTAGTTCTTTAGCAAGCTAATGCAACACACAGGCACAAAGCTCAATGGGTAAAGTACCTTTTGTCAATGAAGAGATGCACTCTCGCTTGACCTCATCCAGTGTTTCGTAGCCACTTTCTTCTAATTTCTGCAATAATGAAGGCAGTTTGATTACTTTGCTTAAAGACATTTGAAGTAAGGAAAAAAAAAGTGACTCGACGAAAGAAGAAAGGGTTAAATGTGCAACAAATCACTGCGCAATTATACAGTACAGTGTAGTAAAGGTCAGCAAATCAACTGCTTTTGAATGAACGATTTTATTCAATGGGATAGTAACTTCACTTAATGAGGTGTAATGATCTACATAATTCAGTGAGTTGACCGCAATAGAGACACCTTATGCTATTTACCTTTTGAGCCCATTGAGCCAGCTCCTTGGTTCGATTCGAAAAGTAAATGCCACCTTTCAGATTGCCAATCATTAAATCATGAAGCACAGATTCCAGCATGGAGCTAGGCACTTGACTTTCGTATATCCTGGCTACATCCCTAACAGCTATAGTCTTAATAGTCGAATAAACATACACACACATATATATATATCGAAACTCACCCCAATAGGCCTAGAATGGCTTGATTTAACGCGTCAGAACGAGAATTCTCCTTGACAAGGCTGTTGACAAACAACATGAACCCGTTGACATGAGGCAGAAATACATTTCGAGTATACGCGTTTTGTCCCAGCCCTTGCAGCGTGCCTACAAATGCTTCTATCATAGCCACTCGTATCGCATCTACATATACAACCATGTCCTGGTCATTCTGATTCGCTTGCAAGTTTCCAGCTTGCTGTATGATCATCATTAATGCATTGACAAAGGGTAGAAATTCAGGTCCAAGAGCATGTGCAACATCGCCAAAGCATGAAAGGCTTGCTGGCTTGAGGTCTCTGTGTAAATCGTTGTTGCTGAGGTTGTCTAGTAGCAGCTGTACGAATAGTGGTGCATGAGGTTTGGCCATGCTTGGTATTGTGCTACAGAGGTCGCTTATAATGCCTATGCCGATTGAGCAAAGTTGGCAGTCTTGATTCGGTGATGGAAGCATGATATTTGCTATATGTGGCACTAGCTCATCGACAAAGCATTCAAAATGAGAGCCTATTGAGATAATCATGGCAGACGCCAGAAGGTAAACATCCTCAACCAGAACACTTATCGATTTGTTGCACTCTTTTTGCGATAGCAGGAGCATTGAAAAGAATAGCCGCATGATGCGATTAGAGTACACCGATATCTTGACCGAGAGTCTGTAAATACAACTCTATCAAGCCTTTAGTCTACGCCAGCCTCATGTATACATGGCGATACTTACCAAGAGCACGCCTATCAAGCTCGACTGCAATGGTATCACATCATTTACTGAAAAGGCATTTGACATCTATATCATATTAGTCTAATTATAAATCGTTTGAAATGCTGCACTACCCGCGTTTCTGCCAAGTATAAAATCTCTAATCGTGCTATTGTGCTGTCTGTAATAAGTTCCACCACATGATCGCAATCCTTAGTTGATGCACAATTAGCTTTCCTGATACATCAAGAAGCTGCTTGATCCAGCGTACCTTTGTACTGTGCTTGACAATTGCTGCAATAGCTTCGTACACTGTTTGCATATATGGATCGTCCTGTAAATCAAATGTTTTCGAGTTTTCTAGTAAACAAGTAATGATGCTATGTGTGTATTCTGAAATAGGGCCCGTGTCAATGGGCTTGTTTGGCGAGGGCCCAAGTCTCTCTGCACAATGAATGATGCCCTATGAATACATACATTTAGTATGTTTTGTGTGATAAAGCAGGGTAGACATAGTTACAATGCAAGCAGAATGGCGCACTTTCTGACTGGAATCACCAAGCCCACGCTTGATAGCAGACATGATGCTGTGTAGCGTGGCAGGCTGATCTAGCATTTGAGATGATTCCTTGATGATTTCAGTAAGTGTCCTCGCAGCGGCTAACCTGACGTGCATATTCAGGTCCTTGCCACAAGCTAGAATAGTAGGCAGAATCTACACACATCACTTAGAATGGTATGTTTGGTAGGCAGCGCTTAACTTACTTGCTCAATGAGTGGCTTCATCTTGATTTTGGAGGGGCCGTTGAGTATGGATCCAAATGCAATGATGGCTGCTTCTTTTTGGCTCCAATCAACAAGGTCTGTAGTAAGTAAATTCTTTTCAATGAACTGTATTAATGAGGGGACCACTAGGTCTTTGCAGCAAGACGCCAATAACGATAGGCAATTGCATGCAGCTTTGGGAATGTCCCATTCATCATCGCTCTCCGGCTTGTCGTGTTCCTTGATCATCAGTTTGCACAAAGTTGGTATGATTGAAATCATCGACTTGTCAGCAAAAGAAAACATGAGAGCAGTGTTCTGTGGAAGTCATGTTGAGAGACATTCATTATAACGTGCTGTCATATATGCGGCGTACCTCCTTTTTTCTGATAACTTCGATATCACAAATGGTCGACCAGAACTCGATAGAGAGTAGCACAACCGAGGGATCTGATGTTTGTGCCATGCCGTTCAGTGTTAACTGCAGCATGTTAATACGACAGCTATGACAAGTCCGTTTACTCACATTATACAGCGTGCTTGTCATGTAGTCTTCCAGCTTTTCATAGTATAGACCCGCCACCTTATTCAGGCACTCGTACGCAGCTACTTGTAGTTCAGTTGTCGAACTTGCATTGGGTGTAGCAGCATCACATATCACTTTAATGATGAAATCCCGTTCCACCTATAACATACAATACGCATGAGTGCTATGCACTTTATCCACAGACGCATAGCTGCTATTACACTAATCTCGAAATTGCCTCTAATGAATTCCAGCGAGTTGTATAGTGCTTTGATAGCTGCTATTTTGACCTCTACACTGTTTCATATAGACTTTTTGAGTATCCCAAGTATCTCATCCAAGAGTCTATCTTACTCTAGCTGCTCTCTCCTTGATCCGTCTATGATGGCTGTCAAAAGTGCATTTTTTTGATTTGTTGATAGTAGTTCCGGTTGCTACCATTTATCGCAATGAGAAACCGTGGATATCAGATCAGATCCACACCTATACGTACCACGGACTCGCAAATGTAACCTATTGTCTGAAGAGCTACTTGCTTGACGTTGGATGGGCGGTGTCTTTGTGTAATGTTGTCTACCAGTGTCGTAATGATATCGTCTGCTTCGCCCAGTGGTAAGTCGATTGTGGCCATAGTGGCTACCAACTGGCTAATGATGTTTGCTACACTTCTCGGTTTTGTTGCCAGCAGTGGTAGGATCTATATACAAGTCAGTCTTCCAAATGCACATACTATGATCTCCACCGATCTTACATTGGTCTTTATCATATGTTTTGTGCGTTGATCTGCGAGGATTCCAATACATGCATGAGACCCTGCTAAAGAGTTCTTTAATGCCAGGCCAGCAGACATTCTCACATTGTCTTGCAGCTGATAGTTAGCGATGATGTGGCATATGATGACTGCATAGTTCGACTGCTGTCAATATTAGTGTGTCTGTGAGAGCTGAAATGTAAGGCAGTATACTTGCATAGTCTTCAGTCCCATGCCGCTCCAGCAATTGCACTGCCTTCTTTCGTTCGTTATCGTCTACAATGATCTCAATTAGCACAGTCAATCAACAGCACACACACACACACACACACACACACACACACACACACACACACACACACACACACACACACAAACACACACACACCTGTAGATAAAGTTTGGTATAGAAGAGCTTCCATGATAATGATGAAGGATTTGAAGTAAAAAATATAAAAATGTAGGAGCAGAGGAATGTATTAAATATTGATTGTAGTGGATGACGTCTAGGAGATCCACTGCATTTTGCTGCTGCTGATGCTGCTGCTTGAGCTGCTGCCTTTTTGGTCGTTGGCTATAAAATATAAAAAATATAGTTTGCTATATAGATGTACTTTTTCTCTTTCTTTTGAACATTTTATTATACAAAGACAAACATAACAGAATGGTTTCCTCTTCACTGCCTTTATTTCCTCAACTGGCAGAGATGAGCGACGAAGAAAAATACGGCATAGTCGCTCGTTTTATACCCTGCGACTTGTGCTCAACGTGTAAAGGCTGGCATCCTTACGAGAGCAATCAAGCCAACTGCCAGTGTGGACACGATACCTTTCACCACATTGATAATGCGCAAGACTTGGACCGCAGACTCAAGGTCGCATTTAGACTGAACGAATTGCTCGAAGTAGATACTTATCATTGTACCAGTATCCTGATCCTACTATTGACACACACACTTTCTCTTTGGCGTATTGTAGGAAAAAGGGAAAATGGACGATTACGATTACGAAGACCAAGACATTCTCTCCCTGAAAAAGTAAGGCAACCACACATTCTAGCAACAGGCAACATGCTGATGGGCACCGCATTTTGCATATAGACAAATTTTGTACAACGCATCGCGAATGGAATCCATCTCTGATGGCTCTTCTTTATCGCCTCAAGGTATAGGTTCACTGGGAGCAGGAATGCATAGCCACCATTACTAATTTAAAATAGACCTGAAAAGAAATAGAGACGCTGCTTCTTTGAACGACAATGACAACGCAAACCATGACAGCAAAAGGATGAGATCAGAAACTGCGCAACATACTGACACCGAGAACGAAAATGAGGATGAGGAGGAAGACGAAGAAGAGTTCCAGGAAGAAGAAGAAGAGGAAGAATCAGAAGAGTCGGAAGAGGACGAGGAGGAAGAAGATGAGGAAGAAGAAGACGACGATGAGGAATCGGAAGAGGAATCAGAGAAAGAGGCAGAGTCTGAAGACGACCATGAAGAGTTTGATGATCAAGCAGACAACGACAAAGAAGCAGATCAAAAGCCATCTTCACCACCCAAAGACACAAATAAAGCGCCAAATCATGATGTGAAAACGGACGATCAGACAGTCTTGGAGACAGAAGATGCTAAAGAACTGCCACGTGGAAATACAAATGCTGATCAGAAAAGGCCCGTGGTGAAGACAGAGACAAATATGGACCTGGATCCGCCTGCGATAGAATTGATCACAAATGAAGAGCAAAACCTACCTACCACTACTGCGACTACATCCCCTACACCGACTACTAATACCACTAATACAACGACTACAACAACATCAGCATCAGAAAATGGCAACAACACCACAAATGACCAGGAGGAAGACGATGATGCAATTATACCAGATGTGATTTTCAAGAATGAAGATATTGCAGCAGACTCACAGGAGCAAGACGACGAAGTGAGTCGGATGTTGAGAGAGTTCATGGTAGGCATCTAGCAACACGATATGACACAGAGCATCCATCTCATCCAGCGTGAATTAGCCTGCAGAAAAAAAAGAGAGTCCTGCTATGATTGAAGAGAGGCAAGGCGACATCAAGACGCAAGTAGTGCTGAATGATGGTGCACGACAAAGCATGATCTTGTTGACAGGGCTGAAAAATATCTTTCAAAAGCAATTGCCCAAAATGCCGAAAGATTACATTGCTCGATTGGTCTATGACAGGTAAGTTATGATGCTGCTATCCTTTGGTCAACTGATGATTGAGCACACATACACACACTCGAGCAGAAATCATCGAAGCATAGCATTGATCCGTAATCCACACAAGGTGATAGGCGGTATTTGCTATAGACCGTTTGACGAGCAAGAGTTTGCAGAAATTGTATTCTGTGCGGTTGCCTCCACAGAACAAGTCAAGGGCTATGGTTCGTTCATTATGAATCATTTGAAAGACTATGTATCTGGCCATACAAATGTCAAGCACTTTTTGACTTATGCTGACAACTTCGCTGTTGGCTATTTCAGAAAGCAAGGATTCACCACAGAAATTACGCTGGACAAACGAAAATGGGTTGGTTACATTAAGGATTACGAGGGTGGCACCATTATGCAGTGCACCATGGTGCCTCGCGTCAAATACCTTCAAGTGCAGGACATTTTAGGAATTCAGCGTAATGCGATTTTGAAAAAGATACAAGAGCAGTCCACAGAGCATGTAACATATCCTGGTCTACGCATGCCGATCAACAAGAACGGCAAGCGATCCATTAATCCATTAGAAGTACCGGGGATCAAGGATTCTGGATGGACACCAGAGATGGATATATTGTAAGTCAACATCACAGGATCATGGCCACCCATTGCTTATTATCCCCATCAATAGATCAAACAAACCTAGACATTCGCCCTACTACCATCAAATGGTACACATTGTAGAAGAGATGCAAAACTATACACATTCTTGGCCGTTCCTGGAGCCTGTCAGTGTAGATGATGTAGCAGATTACTATGACATTGTTAAGGATCCGATGGGTAAGTTGCTGGAAAAAAAACAGGGTTGCCATGCTACCCAAGTCTAATCCATCTATACTAGATCTGGCTACATTGGAAGAAAACGTCAAAGCAGACGCTTATCCTACAATGGAAGATTTTGTCAAAGATACACAAAAGATTTTTGAAAACTGTAAATTGTACAACGCTGAAGATACCGAATATGCCAAATGTTCAGCTAAATTGGAAAGGTTCTTTAATGAAAAAGTGCGTGCTGCCACTAGAACTAAAAATGAATAACCTACACATATATCCCGTCCTCTCTCTTTTTCGTTTTCCTGTACATATTAAACATCCCTCCCAATAAGAAACGTCACTTGGATATGTAATGTTGCAAAGAAACACGTGTTTGTTGACAAAATCTTTTATATACATCTGATTATACTTTCTTTCTCTCTCTTTCTTCTTTCTTCTTTTTTTTTAAACTTACAAAAATGGGAGAATCTCGTACTGAATTATTAGCCTGGTTGAACGATCTGTTGCAGACTAGATATACCAAAATCGAACAAGCAGGAACAGGTAACTGAATTATTCCAGGTCAGGTCAAGTGGAAATGGGCTAAAATTTAAGGGGAATCATAAATAGGTGCTGCATACTGCCAGATCTTCGACTCCATCTATGGTAAGAAAGAGAAAAAGGAACTCTCTTGGCGTGCAATGATTGATGGTCGATGATGTATAGGTGATGTGCCTGTAAGCAAGGTTAAATTCGAGGCAAAATTAGAGTACGAGTATGTTGGAAATTACAAGATTTTACAAAACGTATTCAAGAAGCACAAGTAAGTCTTGATCAGCCTGTGAATGCGTGATAGTAACCTGACTAACGCTTTCTGGTTACCAGGGTTGACAAGGTAGTTTATCGATCGTATGGAGGATATCAGGAGAGATGTGTCTCAACAGTTTGATTTTGTAGATTGTACCTGTCGATCGCTTAATAAAGTGTAAACTACAAGACAACTTGGAATTTATGCAATGGGTAAAGAGATTCTGGGAGCAAAACTATCCAGGAGGTGAATACGATGCCTTGAGTCGTCGCAAAGGATTAGGCAGCGCACCTAGCGTTGGCACCAATCGATCTTCTACAACCTCCAATGCAGGCTCCGGCCGAGTCAGTTCTGCTGGTAAAAAGGCAACTAAAACGCCAGGTATGTTTCAACACGAGCCATAGATATCGTCTTTAACACATATGTATAGCAACTCGCAGTGTCAGTAGAGGTGGTCGTGCTAGTGTGTTGGACAACCATTCAGCTTCCATGATTATCGAATTGAACAAGCAAATTGCCGAACTCAAATTGACTGTAGACGGCCTCGAAAAGGAGCGTGATTTCTATTTTGGTAAATTGAGAGAGATTGAGATTGATGTCCAAGACAATATGGAGCAAATTGACGCTACATGTGCAAAGCTTGAAACCAACCCTGAAGAACACGAAGCTTTCCCTATTTTGCAGGGTATTCAAACCATTTTATACAGCACAGAAGACGGTTTTGAACAACCTCCTGAGGATGAGGAAGGAAAGGCATTAGAAGAAGAATATGATGATGAAACTTTTTAGATGTATATTCCCTCTATTACCACAACTACACATATCCCAACAAAATAAAATTACTTGACATGGCCTTTTTTTTGATACTCGGTATTACTTTTGACAAAGATCCAAACTGCTGTTGACATGGAGAGGGTAGTATGACATCAGTCAAGGCATTGTTTCCAGGATAATAGTCAAGGACGCTTGAAGGATACACAAATGAGTTGCGGCAAATGAGCCACATAAACTGTATAGTGGATGTACATGCATCGTGAAGCAGCGTTATCGGGTGCATCTTATAATGGTTTGCACTCATTTCACTGCCTTATTATGGAATTTCACCAAATAGCAGACAAAATGAAACACTGTTTTATCCATTGATAGAACACAAAAGGCTTTAGCTCATTCTTGAAATGTCATACAAAATGTCATCGTAGTACTACCGAAATTGGCATAAATCAGACTTTAGAATGGCGCACGTCATTTGGCACTGGGAGGTATTGATGGTTGATAACATTAGATAATTTCCTACACGGCTTGCACATAGGTTCTAGTATCTTTACTATCAGATTGATGCTTTTATGCATTATAAGGGTGCCGTTTGAAGCGATCAAGCTATGTTTATCACTCCAAATCTCATTCAAATCAGCTAGTAATCATTACTTTGAAAGTGTAGTGATAAATTGTGATGGATTGGAGTATACATGCATGTTTTATTAATTTTTTTCAGCAAATTAGATTTTAAACAAGAATAGGAAACTAAAGGTATCTACATCTAATCAGAACTACTGCCAGAATCATCGGAATCAGAGCCTGAGGAGCTATCAGAATCGCTTTCACTTGAGGACTCGTTATCTAAAAGCAAAAGCATAAGTCAATCAATAGCATCAAATGAAATCTGATACGACGCTACATACCTGAATTGAACTTTTGTAATGTCTTCTCGAGTTGTCTTATTTGACGATCAGAGTCTCTTTCTGAGTAATGAGTTCTTGCTCTCTTTGATGACGGCGAAGAAGACTTGTGCACCAGACTTTCGCCAGTTACAAATTCATGCAACCTGTGCAGAGTACGTCTATCAAGTGAATCGATGTCCAACACAATCTCCTCTTGTCCCTGCTAATAAGAAAAGAAGATACGCTTGTAAGCAAATATCCCACTGATCAACCTCTCCCCCGCCTCTCCATACTTACTCCATTCAAATTAGGCATTGAGCTCTGAATGATATTGACCACAGTGTTCAAACGATCGCCTGTCAATTCGTTGATTTGTTCACTCAAATCCTTCTTTTGTTGAAAGGTGAATTCAGGGAATTCCTCGACGACTTGTTTGGCAGGTACTTTAGCAGCCGTTTGTGGCTCTTTCTTCTTTGTCACCCGCTTTCTCTTTTCCTTGGTGACAGCAGGCTGCTTCTTTTCCTTCACAGCAGGCTTACTTGTACGGCGAATGACCTTCTCTGGCTTCTTCTTCTTTTGTGATTTTATCGAAGCAATTTGCTGAGTGATAGTTGCAATGTGGCGCTCAAGCTCTGCAATTCTCTGATCCCGGTCTGTTTTTTTTTTCATAGCAAACAATTAGATCAGAGCTCCAGCATCGTTCCCGCGCCTTTTTACTTACCATCTTCATCAGAGTCATCAGCTTCATGCATGTCCTCATCGTCTCTATCGAGAACATCTTCATCATCGTCGCCTCCTTCATCAAGGACAGGCGAGGGTGAGCGAGTAGCAGGTTTTTGAGCCCATTTCTCATCAAAAACTTTTTCTAGCTCACGACCCATTTTGTGGACAGGTAATGTAGGTGGGTTGTATAGATAACAGTTGTTGAACATCAAACGAATGTCTTGCTCGAATTGCTCAGGTTCATTGTAGTCGCCCTCGGTGAGCTTTCTTTCGATAGTGGCCAGATCCATTGGGTGCTTGACAATGTTAACATAGTCAGGAATATTGAGAGCAACGACATCAACAGGAGCCAGGAAGGGATAGTTAATGTCTCTATACTTGTTTTTCTTCAATTCACGCAATGTCTGAGTGCAAAACTTCATACGGATATCATTCTTTCGAGGATTACGCCTTTTTGTCATTGGCTCAGGATAGTCTTTGGAGGGTGGTGGATGGATCTCTCTCTTTGGTCTTCCGTCTTCAGAGGCACGATGAGATGCTGATTCTATGGCTACATCATCTTGCGATGCCTTGGATTTGGGGTTCTTCTTTCTTCTCTTGACTTTTTCTTGATCATCATCATAATATAAAGGGGATAAGGATCTTGCAGGAGTAGATGCCTATGTAAAAAAATCAGTGTTCTGTAACGGTTGGCAATCCCTTCAATGTATACATACGTTATTAGATGGTGGCATTTGTCTCAAACTCTTTTCGAAAGCTGTTTCTACATTTTGACACAGCATGGAGATCATGGCTTCGGGACCGTTGAACTTGTAGCAATTCATGAAAACCAATCTGATATCGCTGATGAAATCCTCTACATTATCGTATTCTCCAGAATTCAACTTTCGGTCTACTGTGGTGAGGTCCATTGGATATTTGATGACTTTTGGATAATCAGGCACGTTCAATTTCACATAATCAACAGGGTGTAAGAAAGGAGCTGCGTCTCTGTGCTTCTTCAGATTTCTCATGATGGCTCCACAGTATTTAATTTGGTCGCGAGTCATGTTGGTTTTACCAATTGGGGTAGAAGGTGAAAGCGAGTTTGTTCTTGACTACATATACCAAAAGCAAAGAGCTAAGAATGGTGGATCCCATTTCATTGATTAAACAGCAATAATCCTTACCTGCTTTTTGATGCCTTTTCCACGATCCAACAGTGATACGTTTTCCTTGAGCTCCAATTTGGGCTTGGTTAATGTTGTGTCAATTTCTTCAAACTCTTCATGACTAGAAATAGAGCATTAGACATTTAAACGCGTCAACATTTCATGACATCTATATTACGTTAAATTTGGCGAAGTGTCTGTATTCATATTATGATATCTAGATGATTCGCGGAAAATAATTTCAGATTGCAATAGTGAGCCAGGGTACAGTATATAGTAAGATGTTCAGATGAAAGACAACGCACAAGGTAAGAAGGAAAGAGATGGAAAGAGAGAGTTAATTAAGGGTCAGAAACAGCGCAACCTGTCGTATTCATACCTTGATAGATTCTAGGTTCCTTTTATTAGAGAAATGTAAACGGGATACTATATCTAGAATTTGAGCCAAGAGACAGAAGGAGGAAAAAACAAAAAAAAAAAAAAAAAGAATCTGATTTATGTAAGATGAAAAAAAAAAAAAGGCAAATGATGTTTGCACCCACCTTTATATTGCTTTTTTTTCGTTTTTCCAGCTTTCTCGACTGTGTGACTGTAGCTGAATGTGATCAACCAATTACATGGATCATTACGCATCGCTTAGACCTTGGTTTGAAGGTTTAATGCTAGGCATTTCACAAAGAAACAATCCAGAAGCATTACAGACGATCTACATACAAGCAGGCCCAAAAATCTAGGCTAAATGGCAAGGTTTTTGATGGAGGACAACAGGATAATGCGTGTTTTGTTACGTACCAGCATTGCAGCACATGTTAATGAGTATCAAGCTCAAGGGGGGGGGGGCGGTCAGCGTCTAGTAAATTTCACTAGATGTGAATTGAGATGGCTCTCAATACACCTCTGCATGCTCCTATTCTTAGTATGTAGATATAGCTTTTGGCATTTGGTAGCAACAACATCTGAACTACAGCAGTTGGTAATTTAAAAGGAGATGAGAGCGTGAAAAGCGCCATTGATAAACCAGCTATTTCTCTCAATCATTGCAAGGGATTGAGCTACAAAAACCAGGACCACAAGCCAACTGAACAACTAAACATGATACGACTCGAAATGGCTCACTATTTTTCATATCTCAGGATGATCAAACGGGAATTTTCAAACACGCTATGGAAACAAAAACAAATGTTATCAATACTATCATCAGAATCGATGTTCATTAAAATTCAACATTTACAAAGAAAATTTGAAACGAAGTGATTTTTTTTGGCAAAATAATTTTTATTTAATGTTTAAAATGATAAAGAAATGAAAGCCATGCAAGTAAGATACCAGACAGACGCTGTAGTGAATAAATGTTAGTAAAATTGCAATCATAAAATTTGCTAATAGAAAATCTTTATAAATATGCTGCCTCATCGATCTTGGTGATATTTTATAACCTCATTATCTCTCAGAAGTAGCAAATATGTTTATAATCCTTGGCCAGCAGATTTACAAAGAGCACAATGCCGTAAAACAAAGGACACAAGGTTCTTTATACAACGACATCGCACATGAACACCTTGATTTAATGTTGTTGATACATACCTTTCTTCTAAATCACTACTTGTTCTTACAGTTTAGCACTAGACAAAACTTCGCAAAGAGTGGATACTAGCTGTCTCTTTTATATTTGTTTTTTTTTTCGCAATCAGTTCTGGACAAAAATTTTTCTGCTGAAGACTGCGATAATCAGCAGTCAGTAGTGTTGTTGGTTGTTTGTTCCACCAGGTTGTTCCGACCTCATGCCTCTGGCATTGATGAAGGTCATTGCAGGTCTACATAGTCTGTCAAATGTATGATAAGATCAACTATATAGCATCACCCAATTGCCACACATCTGTCAGAGTATTTCTCATTAATATTGATTCTAAAAATGTAGGTTTGTAGAGAGAAATGACAGCAAAGTACAACTTTTCATTTACAAACATGCCTTGCAACTCTACAGTAGATATTCCCTGGGCCGATGCCAGAAATCCAAGGACTTACCCCTGATCGGAGCTCTAATATTAAATAGCTGGTGATTTATGATTGCTTCCTTGAACTACTTTTCATATCGCACAAAGTAGGGATCAAAGGGTGGTTAATCAATATTTAAGTCATAAAAACTTCCTTCATACATTAGTAGTACAGATCCTGTATCGCAAATAAGGGTCTAGCTGTCTATATAGAGCGAAAACTTGCATTACTGAATGAAAAGATGGATTTCAGCGGATAATCTACTCTAAACAGAAAGTCTGCTATCTTCACTATATATACTGTAAAACATTCAAACAAGCAAAGGTGTAAAACCATAGTGCTCAAGCAGCAAATTCTGTTACTCGTTTCCATTATTATCAGGCTTACCAACAACGTAACGTATCAAAATTTGCATGAATTAGCCTTACCAAAATCAATATACTTCCCATTCGAATTAGAAGTTGCACAGGCTGCAGAACTGCCCTTAAAAAAGCACAGCTACCAGAGGTGTAATTCATACAATGGAAATAGAAGCCATAAAGCAAAAATTCACCCAAATTGGACAATTTTCAGGCCTTCATATGTTGACATGTAAGCCTTTCAGAGCCACCGGAATAACGCCAAACAATTTTACTTGAATAATAGTAACTTCCTTGCACCTTTGCTCAACTTTTTTTGGGACCAAAAAAACATGGCCAAAAATCGACCAAAAAGCATGAGGTACCCTTCATGCTCTTCATCAAAAATCAAACGATTACATTTTTCGCCTTGAAAATGAAGACTTTTACTGTGGTATATATCACATCAAAATGTTTCTCTCGATCCAAAGCAACCCCTAAAACCACTTTTATCAGGTCTTCATATGCAAAATTTCGACATTTTGGCCAAAAATTTCATTTCGAATTTTATTAAATTGCTCAATAACTTCAGTCAAAACACTTATTACAATTAGAGTCATTGGAAGTGTCTTGAAAAGTATTGCAAGACTGTATTAGGAAGCGTAGGGCGATCATTACAGTTTATATAGTCGAATATCGTAAAATAGATTAAAGAGGTCGAAAAAAGACAAAATCTGTCCAATCTTGAACAAAAAAATCGGAGTTTGAATCAATTTTGGCGGTGGCATTGCCTAAATGCCTTTCTGTTGATGACAATGATGATTGCGATGCTGATTAAATGGGGATCATGGAATTGAAAGGACAGTGTCTTAGCGCAAATGCTTTTATTGGGAGATTTTCCCTATAAAGATGTCTTTTGCAATGACAATATCTCAAAAAAGTCGCTGTAGATCTTACACAAGCCCTGTATTTACTTATGATCAGCTTTATGTCGCCATCTTATTAAGAGCATCAGCAGCAGTGAATTATATGACAGTTCTATTATCAGAAAATGGTGGTTGTGATGTAAAACTTGAATTTTCTTGCATATCGTCTTAATAATAGGCTTCGTTTGATATCAGTGTAAGCTAAAACGATGCTAAGGGAGATACCTCCTCTCCTCCTCCTGGTGGCTCTAATATATCCTTTCTTTTACTAATAATAAATTGTTTAAAAGCTACTTGATATAGCAACATTTTATTGCGTCTGATTTAAAAAGTCTTTGGCGAGAGCTCACAGGGCGACGCCGACATCAAGCGTAGCGAGATTGATCGGTTAGTCTTTCTTAAATACAACATCTTAATTACAAGTATCAGATCAATATGCAAGGTGTCGGAAAACACTCTGGTCAAAACCGCTTGATCATACCTTGCTTCGCTGTCATGGGGCAATGGGTCAAAGTCATGCTGCGCATTTTTTGGCGTAGCAATAAGTGAAGGACTCAGCTTTTCTACGCGTTGTATTAATGCTAAAAACTTGTGTTCAGAACCATTATATGCCTGCTTTGAAAGGTTACCAGGCATACAAATGGATGTTCAGTTGCTCTATTGGTTGTCACATAATTTAGCTAGCAAAACTGTGACAAAACCTATAAAATAGCCAGCGTTTTGGCACTTATTTATGCTCGTTCTGTCAACTCAACCTGGTTCCTGGGCTAATTGAATTTTGTTCCTCTTTGTTTGCTCTACAAAATGAGATCGCGTTTGGACGTCTGCGATTTTTCCTTTGAAAAGTCGTTTTCTCAACCCTCATATTGGAGTTTACAGTGGCAAAAACACGTTTTTCTTTAATAGCAATACAGAAACGCCTTTGTGGTATTTCAGTTTATAAAATATATTTAGGGCATGTGTTGGCAAATAGCTATGTGCAAAAAGAATTTTATATGCGTCACCGAAGCAAACGTCAATTTTGAGTATTCACATTTTGATTAATTTGGCTGGGGCAAACCTTCTTGGCAATGTAGATCCATGAGAGCTAATACTATAGCTTCGAATAAGGCCTCAAACGGTTGGTAGGTTTTGGGACTACAAGAATAAATAGTGCTGCCAGAAAATTGTTGCTGGCTAGATATGTGCTTCATTCAATAAACCCTGAAAAACAGACTTCTCTGATACAAATTGCAGTTTCATCACCAAGAACAGTACCATTCGATGCGCATTTTAATCAAGTACAAACTTACTATGCTCTGGAAATGATACTTAGTACGGAGTATAGCACGTTTGAACGATGCCAAAAGATACCACCCTGATCTTGATTTAACTAGTTTGATGATGGAATTGAACAAGCGCTTTGACACTCAAATAAAATATAACGATGACAGATCGAAGCATTGGATGTAAATTGGACACCACTAAAGACGAATAAACGCTATGTATACTCATTTGGAATCAAATATTGGCATGAATAAATTAGTGCATGCTGACGAATGTGGACAAATCAAGGAACAAAAGACTAATAAAAAGAAAATGCTATTTTGACAAATCTTACACATTATCCTTTATTTGCAACCAATCATAATCGAATTGCCGCGTAAGGATTCGTCTTCTGGTTTATGATTACAATCGCTATAAATATTGACCGAATTAGTTACAGACTTTGGTTCTTCAGAATCTCCACCAACAAATTCTTAATCAAATCAACCAAAATGTGTGAACGTACAACTTGCGATAACTGTAAAAAGCCTACTTGGGCTGGTAAGTTGACAACAAAATCTATTACTCCAATCAATCATATTCAATTTTGTCAATTGTATAGGATGTGGCCAACATATCGAAGAAGCTTTAGAGGGTGTTCCCAAAGAAGAACGTTGTGTCTGTCCTGGTATTTTTGCCCGTATCAAAGCTGCCTTGGGATTTTAATCTATTAAGCCCACAACATACAACATATTCCTTAACTACTATTAAATCATTCCATTTATTTTATTAATACAATTGTTTTTTCTCTGATTTTTCGATCTGTGATAAATATATATAATCTTTTAAAAATGCCGGGTTAAAAAATCTAAGCAGAGCCAATGTTGAGGAGCATATTTGATCCACTGCCATTCTTGTTGCTAGGCAAGTAAGTAACGTTACGAGCTTGAGACAATGTTTGTGCAATATCCTTTGAGGCTTCGATCTTTCTGAAAGCAATGAATCCATCACCAGCCTTGGAAAGTGCTGTTGAGATCATTTCAGCGGCTTGAGAATCACCTTCAGCACGGATAATGGCAGCTTGCTTCTCTTGTTCTGCACGTTCGACAATGAACTTGGCACGTTCAGCTTCTTGTTGAGCGATTTGCTTTTGTTCGACAGCGTTGGTGAATTCCTTACCAAAGGTCATGTGGGTCTAAATGACATGTCAGTAAGCTCTGTTCCAGCTCAAATCCCTTCCTGAATCCCTCCTCAAATACTTACAATAGAGACATCTTCTAAGGCAATGTTAAATTCTCTAGCACGCTTGTATAATTCTTCACGGATCTTGGCAGAGACAACCTCACGTTGAGTAATCAACTCAGAAGCATCGAATTGAGCAACAATAGATTTCAAAACTTCGTTACCAATGGAAGGCAAAACTCTTTCGTCGTAATCCTCGCCCAAGTTTTGATAGATTGAAGACAAGTTCTTAAGTTCAGGGCGGTGCAAGACACGCAAAGTCAAAGAGACCATTTGCATATCCTTTGAACCAGTGGTGGTGGAAATGTTGCGAGGCTTGGTACGAACATCGAACAAGACGGCACGTTGGAGCCAGGGAACCAAGAAGTGGGTACCCTCGCCAACAGAGGAGGGCTTGACACCTTGAATACGATCGAAAATAACAGCACGATAACCACCCTGGACTGTACCAATGAACCAAAGAAAAAACCCCCGAAGCTGTTAGTTTTGACACATTACATTGGATTTTAAACTTACCATCATACATGGCGGATTGAGCACCACCGATAAGGAGACCAGCAGGAATAGCGAGTTTAGCAATCTTTTCGAGGATAGCAGCCATTTTGAATATATGTATCTATTAAAGTATACTTTAAGAGAGAAAAAAATATAACAAGAACGGTCGAAAATGCTAAAAGGTGGGGGGTAAGAGCCCCAAACGTCATGGGTTGTGACTCGAGTCCAGTGTTGCCTACTGCGAGAAGATTGACAGCTTGGCTGGCGGAATCCATCTGTATAGGAAAATGCACATAGATCCTACTATTGCATATCGAAATGTCGCATCTTAGCCTACCACTATAATACGAAAGGCCTCCATAGCTATGAATCTGCTTCCCTACAACGCTCCTTGTCTACATCAATGAGACAATTCGTATATGGGCAGACGGCATAGTTGCATTGCCTCTTACTACTCGGAAATGTACAAATCGCAGCATAATTTGTATACATTTGGGTCGTCATTTCTTGGGCTAGAGGCCGCGCTAGACCGCCAGAATAGTACCAAACGTTTTCTCTCATCTAGCACTTACTTACTGACACCTTTGCTCAACTTTTTTTGGGACCAAAAAAAACATGGCCAAAAATCGACCAAAAGGTATGAGGTACCCCTCATGGTTTTCATCGAAAATCAAACAATCGCATTTTTCACCTTGAAAACGAAGACTTTTACTATGGTATACGAGCCTTTCAGCACTTCGGGTGGTTTCCTGACCTACGCTTCGCTTCGGTGGAAACCAACCTACGTTCAGGCGGCTCGCGCTGCCGCGGGCCTTTGGCTAATATCCCAAAATCAACATAGCTAAAATGTTAGAAGAAGAACCCTGATTGTTGATTGATATATAATCACTAATCATATGAGTGTTTACGCTTCGGATGGTTCTCACCGAAGCGTAGCGAAGGTAGAGAACCAACCTGCGCAGCGGCAGCTAGTACTATAGATTGCTCTTGCGTATTTTATCAAAATACTGCTACTTTCATTTTGACCCTCCACTTACACATAGTAGCCCTTCATATTATCTGTGGATCTGATTCTTATGTGATGTTCTACATCCATATACACGTAGTTACTTCATATACGGGCAAGCAGCATACTGGTATTCCCACTTTTTAGTCCTTAGTGTCCCTAATACAGCAAAAAATGAGTGCATTTGAGCTGAATTTTCTTGCGTTCAAGGCCGTTTTAGATCGTCAGAATAGCCCCAAATGGTTGCTTTCATCTGGCAGTTACTTTCTGACACTTTTGCTCGACTTTTTGGGGACCAAAAAAACATGGTCAAAAATCGACCAAAAAGCATGAGGTATCCCTCATGGTTTTCATCGAAAATCAAACGATCGCATTTTTCATCTTGATAATGGAGACTTTTACTATGGTATATCTTGAATCAAAATGTTTCTATCAATCCAAAGCAACCTCTGAAATTATCTTTGTGGGACTTTGATATATAAAATTTCGACATTTTGGCCATAAACCTCTTTTCATATCTTTACAAATCATTTAATAAGTGTATTCAAAACATCTATTTTACTTAGTACCATTGGAAGCGCCTTGAAAAGTACTCCAGGAAAGCTTAAGGAAGCATGGGGTGATTATCATACTTCACTTAGTCGAATCTGCAAAAATAGCTCGATCGAGTACAAAATTATCAAAATATGTCCAATCTGGAACAAACTATGATTCTGGATTTGAATTAATTTTGGCTTGTGGGGCCAGCTGACAAACTCATGCCCTTTTCATAAGGCAATACAGTAGTAAATGCTCTTGAAGCGTATAGAAAGTAGGTGGCAGGTCATAGCACTATCGTTTATGATGATATTTTATTGCCTTCTATATCGTTCATAATGATATTTTATTGCATTCTATATTTAATAACGTTAGTCTGGACATTGACAATGCATGGGTTGCATAAAATGTCTGCAGTAAGTAATGAAATCTCTGAGGCTCTGAGACGTCGCTCAAATAAAACATTGACAGCATTGAGCAGAGGAAAGAGGGTAGAAATTACAGTGGTTTTTGTTGATTGATTGTAAAATCATTATTCTCATATGAGCCAGGTCTGATAGATGCCTTGAAACTCAGGTTCCATATTAGGATTGTAAAGTGCAAAAGTACTGAACATTTATTATGTTATGATATGAGCCAGGTCTGATAGATGCCTTGAAACTCAGGTTCCATATTAGGATTGTAAAGTGCAAAAGTACTGAACATTTATTATGTTATGATATGAGCCAGGTCTGATAGATGCCTTGAAACTCAGGTTCCATATTAGGATTGTAAAGTGCAAAAGTACTGAACATTTATTATGTTATGATATGAGCCAGGTCTGATAGATGCCTTGAAACTCAGGTTCCATATTAGGATTGTAAAGTGCAAAAGTACTGAACATTTATTATGTTATGATATGAGCCAGGTCTGATAGATGCCTTGAAACTCAGGTTCCATATTAGGATTGTAAAGTGCAAAAGTACTGAACATTTATTATGTTATGATATGAGCCAGGTCTGATAGATGCCTTGAAACTCAGGTTCCATATTAGGATTGTAAAGTGCAAAAGTACTGAACATTTATTATGTTATGACATTGAATCAAAACGTTTCTATCGGTCCAACGTAACACCTGGAAACACCTCTGTGAAACCTTATTATGCAAAATCTCGACATTTTAGCCAAAAACCTCATTTTATATTTATCAACATTGCTCAATAAGTTTGTTCACAACACTTGTTTTAATTAGTGCCATCGGACTCGCCTTGAAAAGTATTCTAAGAGAGCTTAAGAAAGCAGGGGACGATCATCACATTTTATATAGTCGAATCTGGCAAAATAGCTCAACAAGGTCGATTCTGATCAAATTTTGGCCAATCTGAAGCAAATGATATAGGTACGGCGTTTCAATTATTTTGGCTGCTGCTGGCAAAATGCCTTCTTATGAAGGCAATCGATGGTTTGCAAGCTTTTAAAAGGGAAATTGAGATTTCAATGATACTACAGCTTAATACGGCTACTTGATTTTGCTTTTATCGCAAATATACGTATATATGATAGATTTGGTTATCGAAAAATGCCCATCGTCAGACCAATCCTAACGCCAAATGTCAAGTGAATCATTCTATGAATTTAAAACCCCAAGTGCGGATTCTACTAGAAGGTATACATCCAGATACATCAGAGCTTTGATTCCTCAAGTTTATATCAAGTATGCTTCAAATAATGTATGCTATCGATCAATTAGCCATCAGAAATGGAGCATTGTGTGCATTTGCAGATCCAACAACAGTAATGATTTATGTAATGAGGATATTCAGCTTGGATCCATCTGGCTACCTACTCAAGCGAGCCTATAGCGTATTTCCCTAAACATTCAACAGCAAAGGTGGGAGCGCTTGAATGCTATCTGGATTGTCGCAAATCAACAAGCAGCCTTTGATCAGTCACTTGGCAAGCAAGTCAGCACGCGCTGGGAAGCAAAATCTACTGCCGCGTTCTTTGACCAAGCAAGACGCGCGATCCTACAACACCTCTTTTTCTCCTCTTTATTACAATCGATTTAACACACAATGCCCAGGGGAAAGAACACTAGTGTGGTAAGATACACCAAACAGGTCTGCAAATGACATTGGATCTAATACCCTGTAGGCTGAGTCTTCTTCACAAAGACCGCTTCGTAACAGAACAGTGCCTGACATGTTCAAAAAGCAAAAGGCTGGTAAGTAAATACAGCTTGAGAGACAGAATCAAACAGTGGGATAATCAGTGCATGACATATATATTAGCTGATACAAGAAGAAGAATCATTCAACGAGACTCCAGTGAAGATGAGGATGATGAAGCTGAAGAGGATGAATTGAACTCTTCTGATAGTGAGTCTGACAGTGATCATGATACAAGAACCACCAAGTCCAAGAGAAAGGCTACTGCTGCCCCCAGAAGAAAGGCGGCCAAAACAGTTCCCTCTGCCTTTCTTAACAACAGTAGTCAATTGTTGATTCCCGTAACGCAAGACTCATCCACGCAAGATAGCTTATATGGTAAGTGTACCATCTAGAGTGCGCAATGGGGATTTGTGGAAAACTGACGTTTTGCCATGGTGTAGAAAAGGCATTGATACCAGAAACTGATATGGAAGATGTTGCTGAAGCTTGGGTCAAGCACTATAAGGCACATCAACTGGCTGCATTGAGGGATTTAATCAACCTTGTCATTCGCGTACGTAGTCGTTTGCATAGAATTGTTCAGTATCTGACGTATTGTCTTTTATAGAGTTCTGGTTGTCCCATGGCCATCACTATTGATGCTATTAACCAAGAAGATGGCTCTTATGACGCATTGCAAGAACTGCAAGCAGAGCTTGTCAAGGTAAGCGGCAGTGTGTGTGTGGCATGCGGAAAAGCAAACATGAGATCTCATGCGTGTGTGAGAATAGCTTCCGCCTACAGAATATCCCTTTGTCAGCAATCTCAAGGAATTCAAGACGTTGAAGCGCAACATTCTGTTGTTCTTTTACCAAATGATTGAAATGTGCCAACACCAAGCCATCTACGACGGCGTGTTGATTGAGACACTGCAAAACTGGCTGACCACCATGTCCAGTTCCACCTACCGTCCTTTCCGTCACACGGCAACACTTGTCAGTCTTCGCATCATGGATCAACTGTGTACGCTTGCTGAAAAGGCGCAAGAAACCTTAAACAACGCTAAACGACACTTGACAGCTGAAACCAAAAAGAAGAAGCCCACCAAATCCAGAATCACCACCCTGAAGCAAACCTGCGTATTGGAGGATCGCAAATGCAAGGATTTGCAAGAGTATCTCACTGAATTCTTTGACAATATCTTTGTTCATCGTGCGCGTGATGTAGAATCTGTGATTCGTCATGAATGTTTCAAGGAACTGTGCAACTGGATGCTCAACTATCAAAGCTTCTTTGTCAGCAACAACTACATTCGCTTCTTTGGCTGGGCATTCAACGACCAAAGTGCCAGTGTCCGTTCTGAAGCACTCAAATCGCTCATTAAGCTCTACAAGGTGGAAAGTATCGCACCCAAATTGAACAACTTTACACGTCGCTTCACAGGCCGTATTGAGGAAATGGCCCTGTACGATGTGGATGTCTCTGTCCGTATCAGTGCTATTCAGTTGTGTAGTGCTCTCTACAAGCAAAACATCAACATTCTCAGCGCAGAGGGCCGTAGTCAATTGACCAACATGATTGCCTCTGATGCTTCTCGTGTCCGCAAATCAGCTGCACCGTTTGTCAAGACATTGATTGAATCCAATGTGATTGCACCACTCGTTGCTCAGGTCACTCAGACATTGACAGGCAAGAACGGTCGCCGTGCTGCCAGCACAACAGCAACACCTGTCAATACAACGTGGGTTACTTTTAAGGCTATTTCAGCATTCCTGGTCGAGCAAACAGCCAGCATCTTGGGCAATGAAGACACAGATGCTATGCAGGTCGATTTGGAGTCCATGACCAGCACACTGGTCGAAAAACGTACGTTTATCATTACCAACATCATTGAAGCTCTCTGGGGACAAATACCTCAGTTGCAAGACATCAACGCCATGACCGACTACTTGTACCGTGATCATTCGCAATCTCAACAACAACAAAATGACGACGATGCCATGGACACAGAAAGTAGTGTTGAAATCGAAGATTGCTACAGATTGACTGAAGATGAAGAGACGATTCTGGTCAATGTCTACGTTGCTTGCATTCAAACTGCCATGTCAAAGGGCTTGGACAAGAACCTGCCCGAAAGCAAAGACAGACGCAAGCTGGATGACACTTTCTGGGACGAGAACAAGAACGAACTCTCTCGCCACTTGGTTCAATCACTGCCCAAGTTATTGCCCAAGCATTTGGAAGACCCCAACCGCATGACTCGACTCGCTACATTGCCTACATTAATGAACCTGAACGTGTACATGGAATTGCGTGCTGAAAAGGAGTATGAGCACTTACTGGAAACACTCATCAGAGTCTATCTTGGTGCCACCTCCACTGAACTCTTGAAGAATTGCGCAGACTCCCTTCAACATTTATCAAAGAACACAAGTCTCAATGAACTCAATCAAACGCATCTTGGTGAATTGAAGGACGCAGTTGTTGACCAAGTCAGAGAAGCATGCAAGGGCAAGGATCTCGTCACCTGTAACTACACTCCCTCTCTGCTCCACTCCGTGTCTGTCAGCATGCTTCGTTTGTCCTGCCTGACCAACTTTTGTGATGCCACTACTGCCATGGAAGACTCTCAGGGCACCAGCATGAATGTGCTCGAGTACGCTGGCGCATTAGCTGAACGTGCTGCCTTTCTCAAGGAAGAATCAGAGGAGAAAATCAGTATCTATGCGCTTACTGTCCTCTCTCGCTACATGATGTGGAAGTGCCAAAACCTAGCTACTGCTATTGACACCAACGAGCTTGGCCTTGTCATTGAACGCCGTCGCGATTGGGTGATGGACAAATACACTGAAATTCTCAAGAGTGATGATGGCAACATTTCGGTTAAAGTCCAAGTTACTGCCTTTGGTTATTTGGTTGATCTCTACTGGTTGTTCACTAGCGATCTCTTTGAAAGCTACGGCTTGAACCGCTTGAAGACCAAGTGCCCTGCTGACCTCCAAGAGACATCTGTTGAGCTTGTCAAGGAGCAAATCAAAAAGGTCAAGCAATGCTTGGATGATTACGATGAAGACATCAAAAAAACCAAAGACGTACTTGCCACTGAAAAGGGCCATCTACACAAGCTCATGACCAGCTTCTCTCGTGGTGTTCTTATGGGCGTATTTGACATTCACTATGCTACTTTTATATTGAACCAGTATGGCACCACAGATGCTAGTTTGGATGATGTTATCAAGTCGTTGGTGGCTGAATTCCAGTCTGACTTGATTGCCAGCGAGGTTGCTGCTGACGGTATTTGTAGAGCCTACCTTGAAGCTTTGAAGAATGTAAGTTTTTGCCAATGAATGTTCTTTTAACATGTATTGATTCATATACCACCTTAGTCATTTGATACCAATGTCTCTGAAGCTGCTCGATCTGTTGATAAAACACTCAAATTAGCTCGACTAGAAGCCAACTCAATGAAGCGTGCCAATTCACAAGACGTCGCTAGAAAAGTGCCTCCTCAAATTGTCTGTGAGCGTATTCATCTCGATGGTATCACCTATTGTCTGAGCAAAGCAGCGGAGGCATATAGAAAGAACAGAGATGATGAAAGAGACAATGCCCTCAAATTCTTCAAGGTACTCACTGTGTTTAGTACTGGCCTCACGCGTGCCCGCGATGTGGCTAGAATGTAAGTGTCTATGATAGAACAGCCCCTTTTTTATCGTTACTGATTGATATATAATCTAGCCATAATCATTTGGAGGACTCCTTACAACAAAATGGATTGTACGTGGAGGAAGGCAAGAAGGAATGGGAGCATTATGTAGCCTACGTTCAATCCATTGATCAATTCTTGAAAATCAAGGGTCTTCGATATGGTAAGTTTGTCTGCTATGTATATCTAGTACATTGAATACTAAAAAAAAAAACTCCCCTTGGAATATAGATGCAACAAAGAGAGCAAATAACCCTGAAACACCAGCAGCACATGTGTTTAATGATGTTAATTTGGGCATGTTGGATGAGCCTGAAGCAGAGTCTAATCAAGATACAAATAAGCGTCCCTTGACAGAGGTAGATATGGACATTGACGAAGACTCTGTACCCAAGAGAAGACGTTAAATCATGTAAATAACCCCCCCCCCAAATTCCTAAAATATTTCTGTATCTCTTTTGCTATTATGAATAAAAATATTCCTTATTTTTTATTGTCAATGGGTCGTCGGTAGACAGTGGTGGCGGCTGCTTGAGCAGTGGGGAATACTGGCGGATGGATTGAGTCAAATGCATGTAATGCGAGCGTATCATACACTTACCCAACATGTCACAAATGTTGACATGAGGCGGTCGAGAGGCAGTGAATGTCACTAATTCGGCTGTGTTTTCCAATGTACGTGAGTCAACTTGCTGTGTTGCATAATGAATGATTGTGCACTCACCAATATCTTGGCCAACAAGCGGCTCCACGCCTTTGTAGACATTGTCCGCTTTTGTCTTGTCGCCACTGAAACGCACAGTAGAGAATTCGGTATTGACCATGCCAGGGCAAATCTGGCTTACACGAATCGGTGTATCCATGAGCTCATGGATCAAAGATCGAGTGATGGCGTCCACTGCATGCTTTGATCCTACGTTCATTTGACTATGAGCGTTGTAACTAGACCGTCGTTAGACAGCACATACCGCAATAGATACTTCCTCCAGGATAAGCTTCTTTTCCAGCGACCGATCCAATGTTGATGATATGGCCCTTATTGTTAGCTTTCATGCCAGGCAAGACGGCTTGCGTCAGGAACACAAGGCCCTTGACATTGGTTTCAAACATGGTGTCAAATGCATCTTCCGTAACGTCTGCCAAATGATCCAGGCCAATGACAAGACCTGCATTGTTTACCAAAATGTCAATATCGCTCTTTTGGGGCAATTGAGAGATGGCCGTATCAATGTTCTTTTTCTGGCGCACATCCAAAGACAATGTATCCACTTTAATGCCTGGATGCTGCTGCAGAAGCTCCTTTTTGAGTGCTTCTAGTCGCTCTGATCTACGGGCGGCCAAAATCTGGCATGTGGAAAAATTATATACAGCGACATCAATTGACCCGTGGGAATGCCTATTCTGTGCTGCTATAGAAAACTCACCAGATTTGAGCCTTGTTTGGCGAATTCCTTAGCGCAAGCTTCACCAATACCAGCAGACGCTCCTGTGCTATATTGTATTTGAACGTTCATTCTAGTGTGTACGAGGCTTGATGTTCTTGTTTGCTTACATCAAGACGTTTTTGCCCTGAAGACGAGGGTGATAGAATCTTTTCTGCACTAAACCAAAGGTGTGTTTAAACAACATTTTGCAGAAAAAAAGAAGAAAGGAGATGGACATTGATACATGCTTTCGTTTTACATACGAAATGAGTTGATTCTCCACCAACACACGTGATGTGTACAACAAAAGCAAAACAGGCACTTTGGGTTGCTCAAGAGGTTTTATTACAGATGGCATTTATGAGCGATGAATTTCAGATTGCAATTGATTCACAAGCCTACATGGTAGCCATTTAGAAACTGCCAAAAGTACATTGAATAAGAGACTGTACCTTATGAGCTGAGCATTCTCATCCACATGTGCAGTGCAGCCCCTCTTCATGTCTTGCAAGAGAGCATTGCTGTTGTTTGAGATGGTTTCCCAATGCGTCACTCTGTCTTGTAATTTGCTGCACTCTCTCTCGTATTCGACAATTTTAGCCTATGGAATATGTGGATAATTTGGATTTTGTTGGTATATAAAAGGAAGGAGAAAATAGAAAATTCATTGTAAATATTGGATTATTCAAATCATCAAGGAATAATACTACAACAACAAATCCCAAAGAAACCCATAAACAAGACATTACTATGCTTCTTCTTTAACGAATTTCCTGCAACACCACGCCTCCTCCTTTTACAGAAAAGAAAAAGAAGAAGAAGAAAAAAAAAAAAAAGAGAACTCACCTCGTATCCTTCAATATCTCGCTCGTATTTGTCAATCGTATTGTTGGTTTCTACTTGCAGCTTCTCCATGTCTTTCTGCTTGGCTGCTACGAGTGCCTTGACACGGTAAGCGTAGTCTTCCAGCTCTCTGTCTTTGGTGTCCACCACAATTTGGTACTGCTCATGCATGGTCTTGAGTTCCTGGCGATGCTGCTCTGCAATACGTATCAAGCGCTCTTCGTTCAGCACGCCGCTACCCACTATGACAGTGCTGTTGGGCCGTGTGGGCGAACTGGGAGGTGTAGTTGCTGCTAGCTTTTGCTCCAAGCTGGTGACCTTCTTTCTCAACTCCTGCAAAGCATTGGCTTTCTCTTGCGCCATCCTGTTCATTTGGTTCTCGTGTGTCTCCTTGATGTCTGCCAATCTTGATTTCAAGTCTTCGAGTTCCTTTTGCTTGACTTCCAAACGGTCCAGACAGTCTTGGTGCATGTTCTTGATGGGTTGATGTGGCTTCGCTGCATCATTGATATCGTCTCTGTTGCTGGAGGTCGTTGGGGTGGATTTAGCCGTGTGCTCCAGCCGAACAGTAGCTGCTTCCAGCGAGTTCTGCAACGTCTCTACTTGGTATAGCAAATCCTCAATTTGGCTTGATTGCTCCTCAATCTGCGTCTCCTTGTTCTCACATGCTTCGCTCAACTGATCCATTTCTTGCACATGTGCTTGTTTAAGTGCATCCATGGCTTGTGCATGAAGCTGGTCCTTGTTCTGTATCTGATCATGCAATTGGTCCAACTCTTGTTGCGCGCTTCTAGTCTTCTCCAGCCATGCTTGTGCAGTATCATCGCTGCCATTCTGCAGCTGTCGAATTTCTTCTCGGTATCTCTTCTCAAGCATTTCAGCCGTGTGCTGCGATTGACGCTTCACCTCTTCCAATGCAGCAGTCGTGGCATCCAGCTCACTCTGGATCTTTCTCATGTGGCTGTTGGTTTGAGCTTCTTGCAAGTCCTGGATTTGTTGCTTTAATGCAGATACAATAGATTCTTGTTCTTTTTTAAAGGCTTCCTGCAGCTCTTTTTCATTGTTCAATGCCTTGGTGAAATCCTCCTTTTGAGCCTGTGCAAAGTAGAATGGAAGGAGTCAATCATTAGAGTGCTTGCTAGTTAATCTCGTCTTTGTTACCAGTAAAGCCAGCTCATGATCCTGTTTAGATTGCTCTTGTTTTTGAGTGTATTCGGCATGCACATGTTGAATCTTTGCTTCATACTCTTGGTTCAATTCCACTCTGAGCGCAGCTAATTCAGCTTCCCGCTTTTTGTCTTGATCCTGCAGTAATTGGTCCATTTCCAATTGATGCAATTTCCCGAGTTTGTCCTCTGCCTCCTTCTGTATGCATTATTGATGAGATCAGTCAATTTAAAATTGAGCCCACAAGTACTTACAACACGCTCATTGTCGTCATTATTGATCTCCGTTTCAGCATTCTAGAAAAACTTGTCAGTCCACACGGGTCAGGTTTTGCAACGGTGAGTGATTACCGATTGAAGTTGGTCTTTGAGTGCTTGCACTTGGGCTTCAAGAATGGAAATTTCTTCTTGAGTCTAAACGGGCAGAGACACGCTCAGCTGCCATGAAATCATGAAATGAAATGCCGTACCTGAATCTTTAATTTCGATGCACTCTCTTTCAAACTCTGGATCTCCTTGTCTTTCTCGGCAAGCTAAGACAACGGCTATAGTCAGTATGCAGAGCCGGATCCGTGATTGCATATAGATCTTACTTGGTCTTTGATCGTTTGGACTTCTGCCAATGACTCCAGACCAGCGGGCGTCGATAGCCTCTTGTTGCTCATGGCTGAACCGGATGATGAATGACTGACATTGACAGACGCTCTTCGAGCAAGTGGTGACATGGATGCTCTGGTGTTGGAAGCGGTTGGCACAATGGACGATCTGCGCTTTGGGTTTGGCGAGGTAGGTGACTTTGCTGCACCATTCACATTAGCGGTACGATCCACCTTGATGGAAGAAGGAGCGACCTTTTTCCGAGTAGCTGTAGGTGGACTGGGACTTGAAGTCAAGTTCCGGGTTCTGGAGACTGAAGGTGAGGATGGCTTGTTATTCATCGATGTCTTTCTGCCAAGAGTGGAAGGAGGAGATGTTGTTGCTGGCTTTGTAGTGGCTGTAGTAGAGCCAGGTGCTGCTCCCCCAGCTTGTATGCCCAGCTCTGACAGCAAAGATTTCCTCTTGGCGACAGATGGCTTTCTTGCAGCCGGATTATCAGACATTTGCTCGAAATCTAGACAAGAAAGAAAGAGAAAGAAAGAGACCGAGAATTTTGAAAAAAGGGGTTACGATGAAATAAATTTAATTTTTAGTGCAACATGAATCTGTAACAAGACAGAAGCATGTTATCCAATTCGGGCATGGATGCACGAAAAACCACAAATGCTAAAAGCGAAGCTTATTTCTGTTGCGTGTAGATTGGATTGACAGCTGGCAAGTGCATCAATGTAGCATATTTGCAGCCATCTTGTCAGCGGTTTGTATACTATCAAATATCCAAATGATGAATCAGTATGGAAATCAGGCGTAAATCACGCTGATCTATCAGATGTGTAATTACACACTTTCATGCAACAATCAATGAACAATGTGACTATGATAAAATGCCATCGAGTAAAGTAAATGTTTCATTTCACACCTCTTGTTCTCTCTCTCTTTTTTTTTTCAAATTTCTATTATTGTCAAGGAAGGAGATGAGCCACCACTTTGCAGAAAAGACATATACGCATCTGACGTACTGCGATGCTTGCAAACAGCTATTATGGGGCATGAGAAAACAAGGACTCCAATGTAAAGGTAAAAGAGCTTGTTCACGGCTCTCGACTGAGCACGAGCATTAACGAATTGACGTAGAGTGTGGCTACAACTGTCATCGGAAATGTCAATCAGCAGCACCGAAATGCTCTTGTGCCATTACACAAGGCTTTTTGGACGACGCAGACACAACATCCAACTCACGAGCAGAAACGTATTTGCGTCAGTTGTCTCAAAAATCAGGAAACAAGGACCGTCGACCATCTACGTCTTCAAGCACATCATCCACAGCGTCAAAGCATGTCAAAGTAGGTGATACAAGCATCTATCTGTCTACATTTGAGCATGTCAAGGCTATCGCAACGTCTGACAAACTGCAAAATATCCTGGCGGAAGCAGCTACTACTGAGCAAGTACCTGTCAATGCCTATTTGGCTCAGCAAGCACCATTGAATCCTCAGATCACAGCTCGCAACTTTACCCGATTTGTGTCCAGATGTGGTCCAGTATTTGCATTCAGGGATGAGCTTTTGTTGCTATTGAGCTGGGAGAACCGAGTCGATACATTGGTGTCTTTGATCATCTACTGTTTAACATGTAAGTATGGAGGGTATGACAGTTCGGAGTTGATGTGTCACATTTGATTGACGTGTATGATATCATGTAGGCCTATATCCCAAGCTGATCTTCTTTGCTCCTCAAGCCCTCTTGGTGTATTTCATTCTCTCCAGCTATCCCAAAAGAAAGACGTCCGAGAAAATGGACACAAAGGACAAGATAAGGCAAAAGATAGCAAAAGCAACCACCGACAAAAAACCCCTGGAAGATGCATCGACGAGTAAGCGCACTCAGCATGACACACCCAATGTGTTTCCCTTCAATCTTTCGGCATTGTTTCAACCTGCGTCCGATGAATCCGCAGAATACCTGAAAAACTTGCAAAATATCCAAAACACAATGGGCGAATTCAGTGATGTGTATGACTGGATCATGATGCAGGCAAATCAGTTCAACTGGTCGTCTGAGGAGAAGACAATGAAAATCTTGCAGCTGGTCATAGTATCCAGCTTCCTAATTTCCTTTGTGCTCTACATGGTGCCTGTGAAGCTTATTTTTATGTCGTTTGGTCTGCTCGTCTATGGTTTCAATACAAGGTTCGCAAAGTATGTGCTGAATGAAGTGCAGCCTTACATGGTACAATTTGGAAAAAGAAACACAATGGCACTGCTGGAATGGTATGCTGATTTAGAAAAGAGATTGGAGCATCAGGATCATTTGCAAGAGATTTCTGTGTTTGAGAATCAACGCTGGTGGCCAAGACGTGGCTATTTGCATGAGGTATGTACAGAAGGTGCTTGTGAAATGCTTTGTGAGAGACTAGCATTGATGCTTGCTTGTTTGTTAGATGGTGAATGATGAGAGATCACCGTGGTCTGATTTTACGGGAGCCATCTACATGCCAATCATCACTGAAATACCTGCTCCCAAAGGATACCAATGGAAGGAGACGAGCGAATGGACGTTAGATACAACTGGCCCCTGGATCGACACGTATCTAGAAATTGGTGAGTTGTATGAGCAATTCTAGAGAATCACATCACAAGCTAACATCTCGTTGCTACTTTTGTAGAAGTAAGGAAGAAAATCCAGTTTGAACAGGGAACATGCGGTACTCACCCCCCCCCCCCCCTATTTCACAGATTGCAGTGACACCAGATGATGATGGGTGGATTTACAGCGATGATAGCTGGAAGATTTCAATACCTCAGACAGAACCTGTTGACTTTGATGATGGAGAACAGAATAGCGAGAATATGACTCGAAGACGAAGATGGGTTAGGGAATGCGAAAAGATATAAGGCAGTGTAAAATAACATGAGAAGGATAAAAAAAAAGGACACTATTTTCTGAATTTATTATTCGAGTTTATCAATTGAATGATGATATAAAGTGGTCAAAACTAGGTTTCATTCATACCTTGTGCTTTAGGTTGCTATGCCAATTTGAATCTTTCAGCATAGACGTTTATATCGTTTTGATCTAAATTTCTGAATGTTATGACTGCCACAGGCTGTTTTGCACATGCAAACGGTAAAACAGTTCCCCAAGGTGACCTCAGCAAAATCGATTCGAAGTTTTGTTTCAGACATCCATATGGAACACGCAAGACCATTCCGTCATTTACTAGCACATTCAGACACCCTTCATTTGGTCCATGTACCAAAACCAAGGTATCATAAACAAGAGGATAGATGGTGGTCATTGGAAAGATTCAAAGACCAATGATTCATGACACTGATGGTGTAATTCGACATAAGCATTGTTACACCAACAAAAGACAACTAAAAAGTTACCGATTTTCTCCAGTTTGTATTTCTATTTGCTCTTTCTTCCATATACCACTTCCATATTACACATTTAAATGTCATTCACAAACAATGCAGAGGCAGGCCCATCGACCCCTACTAGAACAAATAGCATCAACAAGCCACAATTACAGCAACCAAAACTAGAGCTAGCGGATAAAGTGGAGATCTACAATGCAACGACACTGGAGGATTGCTTGGATTATTCGCTGCTTGTATCCAACAACATCAGCATGGCTCGTGATCAGTTAGCAAATGAAAGGAATTGGCTCACTTGGTTTAGATTGTCATGCACACTTATAATCTTGGGTAATTTAATGATCCCCATGCAAGCAAATCAGTAGAAATTGACATTTTCTTGATTTACACAATTACAGGATTTACTGTCTTGATCCAATTCCGATTACCAGAAGAAAATGAAGACGCACCTCGTGCTGATATAACGAATAAGCCAGTGGGCTACATCTTTGTGGCAATAGGCCTTACATGTTTCTTTGTGGGCATTGGCAAATACTTCAAGAGTCAGCGATTATTAGTGAAGCAGGCAACCTATGTGGAAGCAGGCTGGGGAAGCTATATAGCTGTGGGTATCTTGTTTGTGTTTGTTTGCACCATCATGATCTTGGCTTCTACCAATGCATCCGCTACATCATTTCTAAAACAACAATGATATTCGGATATTCAATAAAACCGAAAAAGGATGTCTTGTCCGTTTTCTCATCTTGCGTTTGCTTTTTTTCTTTTCTTCTCTTTTTTTCTTACTTGTAACATACAAAATGTCTTGGTGGGGTCAAAGTCCTTTTGATGAAGTTGTGGGTGAGTAGTTGGCTGCGGTTAGTTTGTCAGGGGCTATCCATTTATGCCTTTGTTTTTAGAGCGAGCAACTTCAGAATTACTGCCTGGAGGTCAGGAAGACCTCGTTTTAAATCTGGATATCAGCGATCAAATTCGTAGCAAGAAGATCAATGCCAAGGATGCCATGCGCTCGTTCAAACGAAGATTGGCTCATAAGAACCCAAATGTACAGCTTGCTACATTAAACGTAAGTGTATCGCTAGGCATCTAGCGTCATACAATGAGTAACAATACGAGCTAGCTGGTGGATACATGTGTAAAAAACGGAGGTGACGTATTTGTCAAGGAGATAGCTTCCAGAGAGTTTATGGATGAGCTTGTTTCGATCTTAAAGGCACCTGTAAGTATCAAACTATACTAGAGTTGACTGTGCACGGTACTGAATGTCGCTACGGTAGGCTGGCTGCAATATCGACGTCAAGAACAAGCTACTGTACGTTATCCAGACTTGGGGATTGGCCTCCAAGAACAAACCTACTCTTAGCTACATGTCTGATACATACGCTTTACTGAAGGCTGAAGGTGTTCAATTTCCACCCGTCAAAGAGAATATAGACGGCATTCTCCTGGAAACTGCGGCTGTAAGTTGTGCGCATTATGTCTTGCAAGTGCTTATTAACATGGAGGACATACGATAGGCACCTGAATGGTCGGACTCGGACGTATGTGATAGATGTCGTACAGCATTCACAATGACAAATAGAAAGCACCATTGCCGTAATTGTGGCGGCACCTTTTGCCAGCAATGCTCAGCCAAGACAATGCCATTGCCAAAACTTGGCATCAATGAACATGTGAGAGTGTGCGACGGTTGTTATATCAAGCTGAAATTGGACAAAGCAAACATCAAGCCATCTACCTCTACCAGATCTGTTTCCTCTCAACCTGTTGCAGCTGCACCTGTTGACAGCAAAGAGGATGACTATGACGATGACATGAAAAAGGCGATTGAACTTTCGTTAAAGGAGGCTGAACAACAAAAGACGAGCTACGGTGCTGGATATGTCGCCCCATCTGCTCAGCAGTACCAATCATCGCCTTCACAGCAACAGCAGCAACCAAAAACGCAAGAAGCAGTTGAGGACGACCCTGATTTAGCAGCAGCTATAGCCGCTTCTTTGAGAGATCTCGAGATCTCCAAGCAACAACCTGCCTCTCCACAACAGCAGCAGCAACAAAATAAGAACGATTTGTCGCCTGTAGAAATGGAGAACATACTGCTCTTCTCAACATTAATGGATCGTGTTTACGCATCTGGTGGTGATGTCTCCAACGATACTCAAATCAATCAACTGTACACACAAATTGGAGCACTGCAGCCAAAGTTAGTCAAGAGTTTAGACGAGACCATCCGCAAGAGAAACGCTTTTATCGAGCTACATGAGAAACTGAACATGGCAGTGAAGGCCTATGATCGATTATTAGAAGAGAGAATTGCCGGTGTACGATACAACAATATACCTGAACAACAATATCAACAACAACCTTTGTATCATCAGCCCATGGATTACTATCCTCCACCTCAGCATCAAGATACTAACAAATACTATCCCTCACAAAGCGCTCCTCCTCAAGAACACTACCCTCAAGATTATAATCATTATCAAACACCTGCTGTCAACAATCAAGATATGAGCAATTACTATTCGGCACCACCACACTATCAGATGTCTTCTGGTGCTCCTCCACAAGCACCAGGAGTGGAGCAGCAAAAGCAATCTGTTGACGAGGCTCCTTTGATTGATTTGTAGTGGGTCGCCATCTAGAGCCAGAAGGTTGATTTGGTCCTCGTCTTTTCAACTGTGAATGAACACTAAAGTGCAAGAGGGCAACATTTGTGAGGCGATTCAATCCTTCATGTCCTAAAAATTAAAAAAGAGATGGTAGCGATTCAATACAATGTTTGCTCGGATTCTTTTATATTTTTGTAATAAATACTAGCGTTTACACCAAAAATCAATTTGCAAAAAAAAAAGAAAGAAGAAAGTAGCTATAGGATAAGCTATCCGTTTCAGAAACATCGATTGCCTTCATAAGAAGGCATTTTGCCAGCAGCAGCCAAAATAATTGAAACGCCGTACCTATATCATTTGCTTCAGATTGGTCAAAATTTGATCAGAATCGACCTTGTTGAACTATTTTGCCAGATTCGACTATATAAAATGTGATGATCGTCCTCTGCTTTCTTAAGCTCTCTTAGAATACTTTTCAAGGCGAGTCCGATGGTACTAATTAAAACAAGTGTTGTGAACAAACTTATTGAGCAATGTTGATAAATATAAAATGAGGTTTTTGGCTAAAATGTCGAGATTTTGCATAATAAGGTTTCACAGAGGTGTTTCCAGGTGTTACGTTGGACCGATAGAAACATTTTGATTCAATGTATACCATAGTAAAAGTCTTCGTTTTCAAGGTGAAAAATGCGATTGTTTGATTTTCGATGAAAACCATGAGGGGTACCTCATGCCTTTTGGTCGATTTTTGGCCATGTTTTTTTTTTTGGTCCCAAAAAAAGTTGAGCAAAGGTGTCAGTAAGTAAGTGCTAGATGAGAGAAAACGTTTGGTACTATTCTGGCGGTCTAGCGCGGCCTCTAACCCAAGAAATGACGGCCCAAACGTATACAAATTATGCTGCGATTTGTACATTTCCGAGTAGTAAGAAGCAATGCAACTATGCCGTCTGCCCATACACGAGTTGTCTCATTGATACAAATGCGGGGCATCGTAGAGGAGCCAGATTTACAGTTACAAATCGCTCATGGAGAATTTTCATGCGAAATTAAAGGGTCAAAAAGTGAAATGTCAGTGTATACCGAAAGAGTTTGAGCAAGAAGCCACTTTGGTATTATAACATGCACTTTATTCATCAATTGGATTGTGAAGGACCGTATATAACTGAGCACATCGCTGGATATAACTAGATGGCAGCACATTAGAGATCACGTAAGCCACTTTTTGCATTGCTACTGGTATGTTGGTCTGTTCTTTCTGTGTATACATTCATGAATGCTGCCACAACCAGAATATGTAAAAGTGACATGGATGCATGCTTTTAGATATAAACTATAAGCGCATGGACATTCATCACAAGTAGGCTCTCTAACTGTGATCACAATAGATTTCATCGCCAATATAGCATGAGCAAATCATTGCATCCAAAGCCATCAGGGCAAATAAATGAATAGACAATTGCACATTTCTGTGAAACATGTGCTAGCCACGATTCGAGTTTCCCACAATCATGGGTGTACTTAGCAAATCTAGTATTTAAACTTAGCATTGATGGAATTGCAAAAATGGTTTTCTTTTTATATAAATATTTATACAGAAAATGACAGAATCTATTGACGCACTTGTAGAGAAATGGCTCGCTGTGGACAAGGTACTATTTTGCTTTGGATATCAGGTTTGCGCCATATCAGCTTACTTTTTGTTGTAGAACGAAGAGACACGCAATGAAATCATCGCGCTTCACAAGGCTAACAACGTCCAAGAACTGGAGAAGCGACTTTCTACTCGTATTGAATTTGGCACTGCCGGTAAGATGGCTGATATGTAAATCTACGCACATACTAAGGAAATGGAAACGCAGGCTTGCGAGCGAGAATGGAAGCAGGTTTTTCTAGAATGAATGACTTGACCGTGCTTCAAGCATCACAAGGTCTGGCCATCTACATTGAAAAGACAGTGAAAGACGCCAAGAAGAGAGGTGTTGTTGTTGGCCATGATCATCGCCATCATTCAAAGGAATTTGCTCAATTGACTGCTGCTGCTTTTATTCAACGTGGATTCAAGGTTTGGTTTTACAAGGAATTGGTTCACACTCCTTTGGTGGTAAGTGGCGATGACAGTATAAACGTACAGTTCATGTACTAATAGCAAAGAGTAGCCTTATACTATCAAAAAATTGCATGCTGCAGGTGGCGTCATGATTACTGCTTCTCACGTAAGTACCAACAGTGCTCGAGTTGGAAGTCAAACTGACAATGTGGCATGCAGAATCCCAAAGACGACAATGGCTACAAGGTGTATTGGGAGAATGCCTGTCAAATCATCCCTCCTCATGACGAAGGAATCGCTGCTACCATCTTGGAAAACTTGGAGCCTTGGGGCTGGAATTATGATTTGGTATCCACCAGTGATTTAGTGAATGATCCCACCGACCAAGGTGTCATCGATTCATACTTTGAAGAAGTCGAGGCATTATGCAAAAACAAGCAGGACAACCAAGACACCCAAGTCAAGTTTGTTTACACTGCAATGCACGGTGTTGGTACTCCATTTGCCAAGCGCGCATTCGCTTGCTTTGGATTACCTCCTTTTGTGCCTGTGGAAGCCCAAATCTCACCGGATCCTGACTTCCCTACTGTTGCCTTTCCCAATCCCGAAGAAGGTAAAGGCGCTTTGAATTTAGCCATCCAAACTGCCGATCAAGTGAATGGCAATATCATCCTGGCCAACGATCCAGATGCTGATCGTTTGGCTATTGCTGAAAAGCAGCCCAAGTAGGTTATTTTATCAAACAGGCATCATATGATGGAATCTGTCTAACATACTTGTATCAGTGGTAAATGGGTCATTTTCACAGGAAACCAAATTGGCTCTATATTGGGTGCAGCCTCTTTTGAAAAAGCCATTGCCTCTGGCCAACGACCTGAGCATTTAGCCATGGTTGCTAGTACAGTGTCATCCAAATTCCTGGCTCGTATGGCTGAAGTAGAAGGGTTTAGATTTGAAGAGTCATTGACTGGTTTCAAATGGATCGGCAACACTGCTATGCTTCTCGAGAAACAGAGATTCAATGTCATTTTCTCTTACGAAGAGGCTATTGGATTCACAATTGGAGACATTGTAAAGGACAAGGACGGTGTGAGTGCTTTGGCCTTCTTTTCTGAGTGGGCTGTGCAACTCTATAAACGTGGAATCACTGCTTATGACTATTTGGAGGAGCTGTACAAAAAGTACGGTTATTTTGTAAGCGAGAACTCTTACTTTATCTGTGATGACAAGAAGAAGATTGCAAAGATTTTTGATCGTATTCGTTTTGGAGACGAAAGCCAACGTGAAGGCGGCAAGGTAAGACAAGTCATTGATCCAATGATTTCAAGCACTAAGTTATTTCTAGACTGGACACAAGTTGTGCTATCCAGAAACAATTGGCGGCCACAAGGTCATTGGCATTCGTGATCTGACAGTTGGATACGATTCCACTACTCCTGATAATGAGCCAACATTGCCTGTCTCAGCATCTTCTGAAATGATTACATTCCGTTTGGATAACCACACAGTGTTTACTATTCGTACAAGGTACAGTCAAAGATATGTTTTGATCTAGTACAGCATCCATACTAACTGATTTTCAGTGGCACTGAGCCCAAGATCAAATACTACTCCGAGCTGCGTGGTGCAAGTGAGGAGCAAGCTAGAATCGATCTCCATCAAGTAGTTGAGGCTATTGGTGACGAACTCATGGAATACCAAAAGAACGGACTTGCCAAGAAGAAGGAGGACTAAAGCGGAATCACCCCAGTATTAGTTTTGTACGGAAAGTGCAAACCAAATGTTTGCATTTGTTTGAATAAATCATTCTAGCTCATTTTGACGTATATGTAAAAGGCAGCAGTGATTGAATGATTTGATCATATATCTTGCATCTTCATTCCATCATTGACATCAACATTCACTAAACCTTTTATGCAACCACAATTCGAACCCGCATCGTTCTTTATTGAAACCCAAAATTGAGACTTGTTGCCATGAAATCTTTGATCCTTCCATTTCATGGAAATAATGATGATATTTCCCGGCTATTAAATGATCGCCCTCCGAGGATGCCTTGTGTATTCTTGGAGATATGACGAAGTACGCCTGGCCACCCACCTTGTTACTAGGGGCGTGTTTATGAAAGATCTGAATAATTCCAAGTGTTACTTACATATGAAAAACGAAAATGAAAAAAAAAAAAAAAAAAAAATTGGCAGGCGGCAAAATCCATGACAACCCCTCTTCATCATGGGAACAATTTCAAGGGTGGCTGTGAGTTTGATTTATCTTCTTCCTCCTTCTTCCTTCTTCCGTGTTTTTCGTCATTTAATACATAATACAGTATGCCCAACGCTCAACAAACACAAGTGCTCATGGCTCCCATCAAGCTATACAGAGAGATTTTGCGCTCCCACCGTTCATTGCCACCTGCCATGCGAGCAATGGGCGATGATTATGTAAAGGCTGAATTTCAGAGACACAAGAGCATTGACAATCCTGCACATATCGTTGGCTTCGTATCCCAATGGCAGTCGTAAGATCGAGATACAGGCATGCTTTTTAATCACTTGAAACCAACGCTGTCTACCCTTGTAGATACCTTGAAATGATGCAAACACAAACAGCGCCATTGCCTCAAGATTCTACTGCACCTTCACACGATCCACTAGTAAGAAGTTTCAACAATCCTACTGATGGAGGTTGGGGAAAGAAGCTGGATGCTGAATTACTGGAGAAAATGAGCGACGAGCAACTAGGTCAGCTTTATGAATTGAGACAAGAAGTTAAAAGATCATTAGGCGATAAAGAATGAATAAAGTACACAAATTGAACAATGATTCTCGGGTGGGTAAAGTTTATTTGCCATAGTTGTAGTCAGGGATATCTCCAGCAAACATCCAAGATCGCTGTTCGCCATCACTGAGATGGGCACAACTGCCGTTTTCGACTAGAGACCAGGTACCATCTTGCTGACGCACCAGACGAGACAGAGAGCAGGTGCCACAACGCACGGCGTAGTTGGAGTCTCGTAGCAATGCTCTGACAGCAGCAATGGCGGATGCTGCATGGCCTGATAGTAAAATTGTGTGAGGGGGATTTGATTCAGCATCCAGATCTGCCACGAGCTTATCCAGGCCCCTCTTGACACGCAGGTGGCATTCATGGACAGTTTCGACACCACTGGGCAAAGGGATACTGGATTCGTGATCCGTAATGTTCAATTTGGGAAAGAATTGCTTCAATTCTGTCAAGGGCGCCACAGGGAGATAGGATCCATGAGCAATACCGTAGAATTCAGCCATACTGTAGTCCACAAAAAGAGGTATATCGCATTCTTCCACTAGCGGATACACTGTTTCCAAGACACGATACATGGGAGATGAGTAGATGCGGTTAATGGATTTGTCTTTGAGGTACTTTGCGACTTCTCGGGATTGCTTTCTTCCCAGTTCTGAGAGAGGAGGATCATTGCGCAGATTTGTTGGGAGAAAAGGCGTGTCATTCACCCAGTCTTCGCGATACCCGTGTCTCACGACCCAAACTTCCTGCACAACCATTTCGAAATCTATGTATCTATAATAGTTGGAAAAGTGCCTGCAAAAAAATTGTCAATCAATTGATTATCTTTGAATGTTGGGTTTCACACGATAGAGTCACAAAAGAACGTGTTCAAGGCATCATGGATTGATCTCAACGAGATTGGATATCCATATATCTTGCGCAACCATCTCCAAGCACAAGCACTGGAATCCACTGCTGAGATTTCCGTGCTACCTTTTGCATAAAACGCAGATCTGATTGATATAAAGAATGTTTATTGTGAAATTTGATTTGGTGATGGTGATGCTTTGTAGTGTAATTCATAGTAGTTTTTTTTTAATTGTTATAAGAGTATTCGATGAGGGCTGCTCTTGAACGAAACCACTTCAAAGGAGTAGGAAAATACAAAGACAAAAAAAAAATAGGAATCAAAAGAGATATATAAGTGGAGACAGACATACACATACTCAAACAAAGGTAGAGAGAGAGAGAGAGGGACTACATATATAGAGAAATAGACAAAAGAGAGAGAGAGAGAAAGAGAGAGAAGAAAATGTATTAAAAGTCTTCATAAAGTCGATTGGTATTTACTAGATGAAATGGTTTAGAAGGAGACTGCAATGAAGGCTTGCGTTCGTCCATGATGTTTTGTATGTCATTTTGTTTGCGCATGTAGCCTCCTTCATCATTATCGTTTTGCTCTGGTAGATATGGATTGTTGGCATTGCTGCTGCTGTTGTTGTTGTTATTATTCGAGGTGGTATCAGGAAGGAATGAGTACTGCTGCTGCTGATGTTGTTGTGGAGATCCGTGTCCTGCTTTGGTTTGGCTACGTAAACTAAGAGTCAATTTATTTAATTTTTAGTGACAAATGTGTTCTATGACGAGAGAGACAGAGAAGATAGACTTACACTCTACTACTTGAAGGGCCTGAGGGAGGGTGGAAGTGTGTACGTTTTACAGAGAAAAGAGGATCAGCAATGCTTGGTTCGATAGGGTTTGTTTCATCAGTCAGCACCCTCTTTCTCTCATACTTACCACCTAACTGTTGTTGTTGTTGTTGCATTGGATGCTGTTGCTGCTGATTATCCCTAACCAGCATTCTTCCTCCTCCTGTTCCCGTGTATCCCAGATGATTAGCATATGGATCCTGGTAGCCTGTAGGCGATGCTAGCTGCTGCTGCTGTTGTTGCTGTTGAGCTTGTTGCTGCTGTTGAGCTTGCTGTTGGACTTGTTGCTGTTGTTGTAATTGAGCTTGTTGGGCTTGTTGTTGCTGCAATTGCTGACTGCTGGATACAACAGGACCGCCAGAGAAGTAGGTGGGTTTGTGTTGGAGCATCTTTTGCTGCTGTTGATATTGTAGCATAACATCATCTAAGCGTTTGGACGTCTCAGGCGATTTGGTCTCTGAACGATAAGGGGCTCTGAGATTTGCTGAAGGTAGTGGTGCGCCAGTGCCCATTCCACTTGTCATTCGTCTAGGATTGGCATCGAATGGAGGGGTAGATCCCATATATGCATTTAAAGGATTCAAGCCAGTATCTGGAGCTTGATAGGCAGCCTTCTTTTCTTGCTATATGTTATTTAAGGAGAAGAAAAGGTTGATATTCCAATTATTCATCTCCATCTCTCTAGCTACACTTACCAATTTGCGGATAGTCCAATCAAAGACATAATCGTATTGAAAGCCTTCACGAACAAACAAGTCTCGAAATAGTTTACGAAGGTAGGAATAGTCAGGTTTATCGTCAAAGCGAAGAGATCGTACATAGTTGAGGTATATTGCGAACTCCTGATGCAAGCCACGACATAATGCGTCTGCAGGTGTAGTCATTTTCTTTTCCATGATTTTATCGTATTTCTCTTTCTTTGTTCTGGCTCTAATGCCCTGCCAAGGCAACTGACCTCGGCAAAAGTACACCAGGATGTAGCCTAGTGATTCGAGGTCATCACGCCGTGATTGCTCTGCGCAGAGAATAAACGCGTTAATGTCTGCTTTATCTACGAAATGGGAATGCCTACCTATTCCCAAGTGAGTATTGACACTAGCGTAACGTGGTGTACCAGTCAAGTTCTTATTTTCTCTGTAGGGTATATGTACGTTGCTCTTTGGGTCTCTATATCGTTTAGCCAAGCCGAAATCAATCATGTTCACTTGATTCCCACGTTTACCAATACCCATTAAGAAGTTATCGGGTTTAATATCTCTGTGGATGAAGCCTAGCAAGATAAGTATCAGTACAAAGCATGCCAAATGCTGTTGACGTATGTTGCAATGTACCTTTGGAGTGAACATATTCCACGCGAGATAGCTACAGGATCGTTTCAGTAGGTTGTAATTTGCCATGCCAAGCTCTTTCTCTTACCAATTGATCGGCCAACAGTAATACGGTTTTGAGCGAAAAGCGACGTTTACAGTAGTTAAACAGGTCTTCCATGGAGGGGCCCAACAGATCCATAACAAGCACATTAAAGTCACCTTCTCTCCCGTACCACCTAACAAAGGGAATACCAACACCACCAGCCAAGGTCTTGTAAACTCTAGCCTCATATTCAAGCTGAGGATGGGCAGCACGGATGCTCTCCAGCTTGACAGCAATGTCCTCGCCGCTCATGATGTTTGTGCCTAAAAAATGTGTGATTTTTGTCAAGCCTTGTAGATGATGAGTATCTTTTGTTTATTACTCACCCAAATAAATTTCACCAAAAGAACCAGCGCCAATCTTTCGGCCTAATTTGTATTTGGTGCCTATAATGATTTCTCTTCCTTCTAACGACATTCTGAAAGATATGTATCAAATTTATTCAAGTATATAGGTCTTATATACGTTCTGGGTGTGTTGTTGGAAGAAGTTGATATAAAGAAAATGTTGAAAAAAGGAAGAAGAAGAGAGAGGAAAAAAAAAAAAGGAAAAAAACCTCGAGTTCTAATAGGTGAGCATGCTGATGAGAACGAAAAATCAATCATCCTCACCACGTCATCAGAGGCCCAGAAGTTCTTGCCAACATTTACAGTTCCATTTTTCATCGCATAGACGGTGTTGGGACGCATTCGGGCACCGTTAGGTACAGGATAGAGATCAGAGATCCTGTATCTAGATCCAAAAATGTGATTAATTAGTTGCGAAATCAACATGTTGAATGGTACATTGGAAGATTGGCATACTTTTAAATAACGCCGACAACATCAAGGTAGCACGAACCTTTAAATAAAGATGTTGGTCATTGCCTTTTAAATTAAAAAAGAACATTGCCTCCGTGCCAATTAAAGTCATCTCATCTTTTGCGGTTGCTATGGGGCTGAAAGCGAATGAAATATCTGCTTGGTTCCAACATTTGGCGCAGGCCTGAAAAGCTTTTACTGTGGTCACCAGCATGCAAGACCAATGATCATACTCGATTTCAACTTCTAAATGTCTGTACTCATGGTAAGGCTTGTCATTTCTACGCAGAATATTCAGATCAAGAGAAAATCAGCATACCATTTACAGGTATCTTGATTTGTAACTCTAAATTTACAGGCAGTAATATTTACAGTCAGTTATCTCGACCTACATGTGTGGTAACTCGAACTTCTTTTGTGTGGTGTTAGTCCATCAAATGTAAACGCTGTAGATGCTAATAGTGAAATTTTATTTATTGTCAATTTGGCATTAAACTAGTCCATCAATTAGTTGCACAACATTGAAAGCCGCCGCGACTTGAGAGTTTGAACTTGAAGCTATTTTGAAGTCGTTACCCATACGATATGATCAAAAAGTAGATTAGCAAACGTACTTCATCTCATCAAGCATCCGTTGGTATGGTAAATACCTAGATGCTATCGTGCTAAAGTCAAAAATATGATGTTCGAACTTTATGCGTCCTTAGAGTGTATGAGTATGAAAATTAAGACTTTTTAAACAACAGATTAGATTGTTGCATAGTAAGGAGAGTTATGGATGCTATTGCTGCGTTTATGCACAGGATGCTTTATGTATATATATTAATAATCTACTTCAAAAAATACAAGAATCTCCTCTTTTTCTATTACATGCTGAATACCAAACAGGTACCATCATCAGAGGCAGAACAGATGACATTGCCATCACTACAGAAAATGGATGATTAGCACAAGCAAAGACGATAAGCATCAAAATACATACTCTGCGACGGCGATATCAAGAACGGTATCACGATGGCCAGACCAAGACTTGACACATTGACCTGTACGAGCATCCCACATCTTTACAGTTCTGTCTGCTGAGCATGTGGCAAGCATAGGAGAGTTTTTAACAAACTTTGCTTTAACAACGGCATCTTCATGGCTCAAGGTAGCACGGAGACGCTGTGTTTGGACATCCCAAATAGAGACTGTACCGTCAACTGAACCGGTAGCAGCTAAAGGAAGGCTACAAACGGTTTAAAAATTAGAACAATCAAAGTGCATCTCCATGCGAACAAAATACTTACACATCACAGAATGAAGATGTCTCCACTGAGTCTGTGTGGTTTTCTAATGAAGCAACAATCTAAAGCACAACTGAATAAGCCATGCCAAAACCTTCATATAAAGCACTTACATTGCCATTCAAGATATTCACAAGTCTAGCTTTACCAGTAGCATCACCAGTGATAGCCAAAGTACTATCCTTGTTTACACAAACAGATGTAATGACTTCAGCATGGAAACGAGCATCATCACCAGACAAACGGAATTCAGCAGCTGCAGACTTGGGATCCCAGATAATGAAACTAGAATCTTCAGATGTTGAAACAATCTTCTTGCCATCAGGTGTGAAACAACCTGCAGTGACAGGACCAGCATGACCGTTGAAGATGTTCATGAATTTACCCGAAGGCACTATAGGACACGATGAGTTTCTTCAGTAGCACAGATGCCACATCAATTCAGTTTTACTTACTGGCCCACATCCAAATAGTGGAATCATTTGCACCAGCCAACAAAATGTTACCCTTGGGATGCCAGTCGATCCAGATAATCTCATCAGGGCCATCCACAGATACACAAAAGTCACCAGTTTCAGCGTTCCAGACACGCACCTTACCGTCCATAGCTGCGGATGCAACATACTTGCCATCACAACTGAAAGCGACAGCTGTGACAGAATCAGTATGACCATCGAGGCATTTCATCATCTCACCAGTATCACAACGCCACAAATAACTCTTGTCATCACCGCCACCACTGACAATAATACCATTACTAGTGGGATGCATAGCAATGGCATAGACGGGCTCACGATGATCAAAGAAACCTTGCACTGAGTCATCTGCAAGTTCCATAGTGTTTTCATCGTCGGCATTGGGTCTAACTTCAAAGCCATCGGCAGAGTCTAATTGTGCATGTTGTAAGCCTCCAAGCTGACCACAAGCAGATCAAGTACTATTATTACCATCCATATCCTCTTCCTCATCATCGTCGTCCATAGGCTCGCCTTCATCCAAGTCGGGCACCTCTTCCTCTTCAACATCTCCTTCTTGGACATACTCATCCTCGACGAGGTTATCAATTTCTTCCTCAATCTACATTGCAGATGAATGCTCTCTTCAGCAATCTCGCTCATTTACTGTGTATTGCCATCAATCTACTTACATGCTCAGGAGCAGACATTTTCGTTCAAGTGTGATTGATTATAACAAATGAAAGAGATCAGTAATAATAAAAAGGTAGAAAAGTTTGAAAAAAAAAAGGATGGAAGCCGAGTCACGAAAGTGTTGATTTGTAAGTTGGGAATCTTCCACAAACATGTCAAAGCATTATGTAAAAGCCGATATGGGATACGGACCACCTATTAATTTGAGCTACCGAGTTATGAACCATCTATGTTTCAGCTAATTTTATAGCATAATAGTTTCTACTAGATACAGACTATCTATAACGTCTAAAAATGTCCAGTTTGCCTTACAACCACCGTCATCTCACTAATAAGCTGTATCAATGTGCTATGATACAGCGATACAACAGTGTCAATCAGCCTAATATTTCCAGCTGAATATTTCGCAGTATGCTCTAAATTTAGATAAATGCATACAATGTCTGTACGCCTTTGTATCATAACAAAAATGCGTTTATTGACAAGCAAATGTATAAAATACAGCCAAATTTGACAGCTTTCAAGCCTTCATATCTTGGCATGTAGGGTTTTCTGAGCCGCCGGAATGGCGCCAAACAATTGCACTCGAGTAGTAGTAACTTCCTGACACCTTTACTCAACTTTTTGGGTAAAAAAAAAGACATGGCCAAAAATCGACCAAAAAGCATGAGGTACCCCTCATGCTTTTTGACGAAAATCAAACGATCGCGTTTTTCATCTTGAAAATGAAGACTTTTACTATGGTATATCTTGAATCAAAATGTTTCTCTCGATCCAAGGTAATCTCTGAAACCACTTTTATGAGGCTTTCATATGCAAAATATGGCTATTTTTGCTAAAAACCTCATTTCATATTTTAATAAATTGCTCGTTAATTTCATTCAAAACATCTATTACAACTAGCACCGTTGGAAGCGCCTTGAAAAGTACTTCAAGAATGTATTAGAAAGCGTTTTTTTTTTTTTTTTTTTTTTTTTTTTTTGTAGGGGAGACGAGCTCCAGTTTTTATTTAAAGTCCTTTAAATGTCGTGCTGAGGGATAGAAAAGACTGGATATAGAGACAAAGGATCGGATGGAAAATGGGTTGGAAAAAAAAAAGGTGACAGAAGAATGAACGAAAAGGTAAAACTGAATACTTACGAATCAAGATTTAACTCGGCATCCAAACGAGCAAGAGAGCGAGCAAGGCGAAGTTGAACGGTGTCAGCGATGAACGGGGTTCGGTCGAAGATCCAGCGCCAATGCGCTTGCCAAATTGTCAAAAGAGTAGTTGCGAATAGTTGAGGAATAGAGAGTTCATTGAACGAGAGAGAGGGATCACGATCAAGAAGAGGGGAAGAACAGAGTAAAGTTTGTTGTAAGAAATGAATCAGATCAACATCAGAGATTGATGGAGAAGCAGAAAGATAGGTGTGATACATGTATCGCCAGACCAGCAACTTGGGAGGACAGGAGAACAGAGCATGTGTGATATCCTCCGTGGGAGAGGCAGGGCAGATTGTACAGAGGTGAGAAGGGTGATTGTCAGGAACGCGTAGATGTAGGAGGGCTCTGGTGGGGATTTTTTCATATATAGCCCGATACCAGACCGTGCGAGCAGCAAGGGGAATTGCGAGTGTCCAGAATGAGCGCCATTGAGGAGGTTGGAGAGGAGAAAGAGAGGAGGAGGAAGAGGGTAGGTTTTTGCGTAGTTTTTTAAAAAAGCGGATGCTGTTGAGTGGCAACCGACTACGCGAAGGCGAGGAAGAAGGAGGGACGAAAATGCTACGGCAAAACGCCCGCAGAGAGGGAGGTTGATGAGGGTCTAGGGCTGGACGGGGAGCAATGAAGCATTGCTGTGCAAAGAAAGGTTGGAATATCAGTTGACGAGAATTGATGAAATCAGCAACACGTTGGGAGACAATAGGATGGCTAGCAAATTGGAAGGAAGAACGAACACGAAGCACCTGATGATCAGCATCTAACCGGAAAATGTCGCTTACAAGAAGCTTCTTTGCAACGTTGGAGCCGTCTAAGAGAAGATTCGGTGGTATAAAGCTAGATGAATAAAGAGTATTAGTAGTAGGTAGTGAATGTAAAAGAATATCATAGAGAGGAAGTGAGTAGCAAGTAACAGCATCAACATATAAGTTATGACGCTCTGTTATCTGGAAAAGTGACAAACAGGACTGAAGATTAGTAATTGGATTGAGATAGCTGTGTCGACGGGATGGGCTTTGAGGAAACCACGACCGATGGCGAGCATAAGGCAACAAGAGATAGTAGAAGAAATGAGGGAAGACGGTGGAGGAGTAGCACCAAGAAAGAGTATAAGTTAAGACAGGAAGCGAAGGAGTGTTGTACTTGGAGAAGGCCGGAGAGTCAAGATATTGAAGTAATAGAGGGCACACCCAGTACCATTGCAGAGCTTGTTGTTGAGAGAGAGGATCTAGGAGCCCCAAACCACCGGCAGAGCGAGGTAAAGAGAGAGTAGCAAAAGAGAGTCTAGGGAATATACGAAAATTAATGAAGGCGGTACCCAGGCTTCGTAAAGAGAGCAACTGGGCCTTGGTAAATGTTGTGAGTCGTAAAACATGCCATAATTTGGAATAAATGAGTGAATTGAGAATGGTAGCACGGCCACGGATGGAGATGTTGCGTTGTGAGTGAAGAGCAATGGCATTTCGGATGGAATCATATAGTTTTTGAAAGGCAACATTGCGTTGAGTAATGCTGGAACAGATGGGATAACCGAGATAAATGAGGGGAGTGGCGGATGTTCGATCATGCCAGGCGTTTATGCCATAGGTTGCGAGTAAGGCTTGCCAAGTTGCTGAAGGATTGCCTGAGAGAGATGTAGCTACTGTCTTGTGATAGTTCAATAATGCGTTAGAAGCTTTCATATACATGGTGATGGCGGTCTGCAAGCGATGAAAGTCCTGCGTATCATGGAGATATACCAATGTATCATCCGCATATGCCAGGATTTTTACCGCCAGAGGTGTAGAGGCGGGAGAATCTGGAGGAGCAGGAGTATCAGGACTGACAGCAAGGCCGTCATTGTCCGGAAACAACTGTTGCATAGGAACTGAAATATCGTCAGATGTAGTTTGATTAGTAGGAGGTGGAGCTTCAGTATGCAGGTTGAAACCAGTAAACTGAGGATCTTGTTGAATGGAACGAAGGAAAGGATCAAAAGCAATGTTGAAAAGGAGGGGTGAGATGGGATCCCCTTGGCGGATACCACGTTGTTGGGTGATGGACGAGGTGGATATGTGGCCGTTAATGTTGATGTGAATTTGCGTAGAGAAGAGAAGGGTTATTAATGAATGGATAATGTTAGTAGGAAGGTTAAATCGTTGCATCACCGCCCGAAGGTAGTCAGGGTGGATGCGATCATACGCTTTCTCTTGATCCAAGAGCAGCGCAATACTGTCCGATGAAGTTTCAGCAGCAATGAGACGAGTGTTGTTGAGAATCATACCATTATCACCGATAAAACGACCAGGCATGAATCCAGACTGTTGGGGGCATATGATCTTGTTCATGAAGGGCATAAGGCGTTGATTAAGCAATCGTGTGAAGATCTTGGCATCACAGCAAATCAAAGATAGTGGACGCCAATTCTTGAGGTTGGAGAGGTCGCCAGACTTGGGTAGTAAACAAATGCAAGTTTGCAACCAGCTGGAAGGGAAGATACCCAGGTTGAGGGCATCATTAAACACCTTAACAGCAAGTTGGGCGGCCTTCTGGTGGTTGAAGATAATGTTGAGAATGGGGTAAGGTAAACCGTCGATACCAGGACTGGATTGGAACTTGGTACGATGAGTACCAGTCAATAAGTCGGCAATGGTGAAAGGTTGCTGAAGGGTATCATGATCGGCATCCGCGATGGTGTCAGAATCCGGAATAGTGGCACACAGAGAGTCGATACTCGCTGAATCCACGGCATCGCAGGAGTATAATGCTGCATAGAAACTAGAGGCTGCTGTCTGCATTGAAGAGGGGTCAGTGCATAATGAGTTAGTAACTGGATTGATGAGGCTAGTAATCGCCTTTTTGACCGCACGAGTGGCAATGGTACGTTTGAGGTATCCGGCAGAGGTTTCTCCCTGCTCGCGCCAATGTTTACCAGCACGTAATCGTAAGTTGGAAGCTATCTCCCGTTGAAGAATACCTATCTGCTTTTCAATAGTCGAGAGTAGAGGAGCGCGGATCCGAGGATCTGTATATTGTCGACAGATGCGATTGCGTTTACGTTGGAGTCGTTTGGATTGACGTTCCAAGGCACTACTTCTATCACGACTGACTCGACGAACAATTTCTTGCACCAAGGTTTTGAGAGCATCCCAATTGTCCTGTGGGGAAGCAGGAGGAATAGAGGCGGCGATATCGATAGAGGCAGAGATCTCCAAGGTATTGAAAAAGTCATCAAGAGCTGTAAACAGTTGGTCAATGAAATATGGGTTAGTCGAAAGATTTGGGTTAGCACGCCAAAGGCCTGATCCCTGACGATCCGAAGAAAAGACAAATCGAGCCCGTAGTAGAGCATGATCCGTCCAGGAGGAGTCAAGGAACATAATTTCAGACGAATGTAGATGTTGAAATAGGAAATTAGAAGCATAAAGGTAATCGATAGTAGATTGACCAGTTCGTCTACGATAGGTTGGTAATAGAGGACCCTCTTCCCTGGAATGAGTGCATTCAAAGAGGTGGGTATTGATGAGTCGGTGGAAGTGTCTGTGAATAGCAGCTCCTGAAGTAATATTGTCAGTATCAAGTTCCGGATCATCACTATCGTCGGTCAGATAGGAGGTAGCATGGTAGTTGAAATCGCCCATCAGAAGCATGGGAGAAAGATTGGAAGGATCAGAATCGAGCAAGGTAGATAAAGAGGATAGGGATTCCCGAGAGGTTGAAGAAGGAATGTCGAAAAGGGGCAACGTTAGTAGGTCTCTGAAGAACCGAACTCGGGGTGAGTACTGGGCTGGGGCATAAACATTAAGGAGCGTAAAGGGTGGAAACAACGCATTGGCAT